CCCCTTTTTCTTTCTCTCCCTCTCCCTTCTCTCCCTCTCTCTCTGGTTTAACCCCTTTACTTTCTGCTGAGGCTTATATTACTACCTGATTTCAGATTCTGACCATTTCTTGGAATGGCATGTGCTGATGAAAACCACATCATGGCCTCATGCGTCATCTTGTGTTAATTGTCAGCATTTGTGTGCCTTTTGGGTCAGGGATGAACACTGCATTTGCAGAGGGGCACACAAAGGTACAGAATTAAAGCAATTCAGAACTAATGAATCATGGGAGGGAAGTAAAAATTAAAATGCAGTTGCTGGACTTGCTTGCAAAACTCTTGAAAGCATAGAGATAAAAATAGCTTCTGGTTAGGACCTGGCACACGTGCTCCGAAGGCTCACTGTTTGAACTCACTTGTTAATCAGGAGGCCTTAGTTCCCACTGTCAGCATGTCTCCTGCAGTTAAACTTGCCCAGGAGGGTAATGAGCTGAAGCTGAGAAGGAAGCGCTTGCTCACTAACCCAGAATTATAATCTCTCACAATCAAATTTTAAGGATGTCAACCTACCCCAAGTCAGCTCCTATTCCCAGATAAAGCTTGTTATATTGGTTACCCCCTTGACAGGTAACTCCCGGACTCGGCCTCAGTGTTTCTTGTCTGTTCAGTTCAGTTGCTCAGTCGTGTCTGACTGTCTGACTCTTTGCAACCCCATGAACCACAGCATGCCAGGCCTCCCTGTCCATCACCAACTCCTGGAGTTCACCCAAACCCATGTCCATTGAATCGGTGATGTCATCCAACCATCTCATCCTCTGTCGGCCCATTCTCCTCCTGCCCTCAATCTTTCCCAGCATCAGGGTCTTTTCCAATGAGTCAGCTCTTCACATCAGGTGGCCAAAGTATTGAAGTTTCAGCTTTAGCATCAGTCCTTCCAGTGAATATTCAGGACTGATTTCCTTTAGGATGGACCGGTTGGATCTCTTTGCAGTCCACGGGACTCTCAAGAGTCTTCTCTAACACCACAGTTCAAAAGCATCACTTCTTCGGCGCTCAGCTTTCTTTATAGTCCAACTCTTACATCCATACATGACCACTGGAAAAACCATAGCCGTGACTAGATGGACCTTTGTTGACAAAGTAATGTCTCTGCTTTTCAGTATGCTGTCTAGGTTGGTCATAACTTTCCTTCCAAGGAGTAAGCGTCTTTTAATTTCATGGCTGCAATGTGCACAGGGGTTAATAATGCTTACTTCACAGCATGGTTGTGAGGGTTAAAGATGACAGTGTATTTAAAAGGCTTGGCATAGTAGGTGTTCAATAAACCAGAGCTGTTGTGATGTCTTCCTACGTTGGCTGGCTTCTTATTTGTTGAATTCCTTCTCCTGTGGTGGTGGCAGCCTGGACAGGGACTGGTCCTTTCTACTCACAGCTCAGTGCAGGAACTTTATTAGTGTTTATAAAGAATAAACAAGTGAATTATTTAATCCACAGAGGGGTAGAAAATGCTCAGAAGTCAAGGTGAAGTCACGTGCTCATGGGGGGAAATCAAGAAGCTTTGAACAGTGGTTATTTCTGGTGCAGAAAATATCAGAAAAGAAAATTCTTTCTTCCACTTCGTTTTTTCATAACACCTTCTTATTCATTTATGAAGAAGAAGGGTTTATTCTTTTTCATTGTTGCAGAGGCTGGGCAGGATCTGGGTTTCAGACCTTAGCATCTTATAGGTTTCCTAGAGAAGCTTGTCAGCCTGGGAGCTTAGAGGCTAGTGGATACTACCTGTGAAATGCAGCATGGCCCATCACTTACTGGGGCTCCTTCCAGCTTCACTCTCCTGATATTGGGGGGTCAGAAAGAGAACCCAAGGCCTGGAGAGGCCTCGGGAAGTAGAGAGGGACCACCTGGGCCTGTAACATGAATAGCGCTTGAGGCGGCTGCAGGGGAAGATGAGGGCAGAAGCCTGACTAAATCCCCCAGGGCTCCAGAGCAGGGCAGTATTCCATGTTGGGAAAGGCCCTCAGAAGAAGCAGAGTTCTACCAGGTGAAGAAGTGAGAGGGCAGGTGGGAAAGGAGGATGTTTTAGGTGCAGGGATCAGTTAGGCAGGCGAGCCTGAGCCCAGGCGAGGTGGACATGGAGACGTGCTGCAGCAAGAAGTTGGAGAAGTGAACAGTGGGCTTGGAAAGGCAGGCTGAGGGGCCTGGCCTGTGCTGTGAGGCAGCTGGGAGCCGCTGCAGGCTCTGCGCAGGGGCAGTCCCCCTGGAGGTGCCGGTCACTGTGTGAGACAGACAGCCTGGAAGAGGAAGCTGCCGGGGACGGAGCGGAGGAAGGAGCGGCGGGGGTTGTGGGAACCAAATGCAGGAGGCTGCTAGCGGGAGCAAACAGCCTCTGAGGCCTTATCTGACCTCTTTTCTGTCCTCAGAAAAGAGCCCGACATGCTGGGGTGCCGGGGAGGAGCATGTCCTGTCCGGGCAGCTCCAGCCACATGTGCTGGAGTGGAAGAAGTTAGGATGTCTCCAGGCAGCTTCTTGTCAGGCATTCAGGGTCACCTTGAGGGGCCCTGTGTGTGCATTTGGCTTCCAGGATGAATGTGGTCCAGGCAGGGAGACACCCCGTCCCCCCATCTGCGTGGGTCTCTCAGCCTCCCAGGCAGTGTTCCCTGGGCTGAGTGGGGGAAGCAGGAGCTGACAGCCAGGGAGGGAGGAAAGTGGCATTATATAAGTTTGCACAAAAGGAGGCTGGCTTGCCATGTGAACAGAAAGCAGATACGAGGACAGCCACAGAGGCAGTGCAGCCTCTCCTGAGCAGCAGCGGTGGCCTGGGGAGTGGTGTCTGAGCAGCAGGGGCAAGTGAGGGAGCGGGTGTCTGGAGCCGGGAACTGCCGGTCTTGGAGTGCAACCCATGAAAGAATCCTTCGGTGTGATCCTGTCACGTGTGCGCTCTTTAAATGCCCACAGTTCATTCGATGGATCCTGGTCTCCATCTGGTGAGGCTATGAGAGCTGTGGTAGTTATCACCACTTTACCGATCCACAGACCACAGACTACAAAAGCCAAGGGCTCGCTCAAGGCTGCATGTGGAACGTGTGGCAGGGCCAGGACTCAAATACAGGTCTCTTGACTCTTGCCGCTCTTTTGCTTTTATAACAAGACATAATAGGTCACTTCTGAACAGGCCATGGGAACACTGGAAGGTGAGGGCGCTCAGGGCTTTGTGGTCAGTCACTCAGGGTATGAGTGATGTGGTAGCAGGGTGAGTGGGAAGAAAACAGGTCCAGGCATCACAGGGTCTGAATTCTGGTTCCCACTTTATCCAGTTTTTGCTGTGTGAGCTCAGTCAAGTCCCTGGACCCCTTTGGGCCTTAGGCTTTTCGTCTCCACCATGAAGGGGAGGAACCAGATGCCTTCTCAGGCTACTTCTGACACCTGTGTCTGTATGGGAGACATGGAGGCATGCCAGTGGGTTTGGAAAGATCTCAGATTCTGTGCTGCTATGTCCTGTGACACGCAGATGGCTGGGTCTTAGACAGGCAGTACTCATGGTGTGAAGTGTGTATGTGTCCCCCGTGAGTTTAGCCCCATTCATTCACAGGCATCTAGGAGTACTTCCTGTATTGTCCTGCCAGGTACTGTCCTGGATCTGCGGTTAAAGGGATGAGGCAAACTGCCAGCGTCCCTGCCCTGGTGGAGCCGGTGGTGGGTGGAGAGAGGCTGGAGCTGGCGTGGCTGTGGTTGGGACTTGACCCAGGCTGGGGATGATGAGGGCTAGGTGAAGGTGGGCAGGCGAAGGACTTCCTGGGATATGAGAGAGGGGTTTTTGTTTGTTTATCCTTGGAAAGATACTTAAATGGATCTGTTAGATTCTGTGTAAGAATAAATAAACACATTCTTGTGAGTATTGAAGGGGAGCATAATAAAATCTTAATAGTGGCTCTGGTAGGTTGAAATTATGAGGGTTTTACTTTTCCCTCTGGTTCTCCAGATGTCCTGTGTTTGTATTATGCCCGTCAGAGATTCCCTGTCAGGGTTTATGATTTTGCTCTCGGGTTTGGCCTGCTCTCGAGTGGGTCTCCTTGTTTGCCAATGTCTGTCCACAAACCTGGTGCCTGGGGCCCCTTTACCAAGTCCCAGCCTCTGCTCTGCCTGCTTCATGGGACAGTTGTTTGAATCAGAGGAGATGGTAAAAGGAAAATGTTGAGAAATTTACCTCTTGGCAAGGGGAAGGGCCAGTGGACTAATACTGGTGGTGGGAGCCAGGGTGGCCGTGGGGATGGCTTGAGTGCACTCAAGGGAATGGGGGAGGGGGAATGCGGCTGGTGCGGAGACACTGTTCTGACCCTGAGGAGCAGCTTTCAGGCCTCCCCAGTTCTCTGGCCCCGACAACGAGAGACTCTCCTTGACTAACAGGTAGATGCAACTGTGCAAGCTCTTAGAGAAGTGACTTCAGTGAAAGAGCATCAAAAGTTGGCTCGCAACCCCCGGCACACACATTTTTAAAACCCCCATGTCCTGTGCTTGTCAGGTCAAGAACAGGAGTACCTGGCTCCATCCCACCCTCCTTTAGTCTTTGGTCTGTAGCCTTTGCAAGCATACAGGTCTTATTATTTCTTCCTCCCTTGTGATCCGGTGATAGGCGTTGTGTCTTGCCAACAGAGGCAGCTGAAGCAAGGCCTTTCAGTCTTGATTATTCATGGTAACTGACTCCTTCCTGGGGTCATCTGGCCAAGACTGGGTTCTCAGAGTGGAAAACACTGGCTTTCTGTCTTGCTTCTAGAGCAGCTTGTCACTCCTCTGAGAGTTCTTCCTTGAACCCTGAACCAGGGGGAGTAGGGGCCGCGGTGTCCAGTGTCCGTAAGCCAAGGGCTGGCTCTGTGATGGGGTCCAGTGTCCGTAAGCCAGGGGCTGGCTCTGTGACGGGGCTGGGGCGTGTCATGGCATTTGTGGTCAGGGCTCGTCTGTCTGGGGAGCGTTTCCCAGTCCACCTGTGTCAGCTCTCTGCTTTTCTGTCTTCTTCCCCCGCAGACGTCAAGCCGTCCAACATCCTAGTGAACAGCCGTGGGGAGATCAAGCTCTGTGACTTCGGGGTCAGCGGGCAGCTCATCGACTCCATGGCCAACTCCTTCGTGGGCACCAGGTCCTACATGTCGGTATGAGCGCGGTGTTCCATTTCTCGAGGCTCTTGTCTAATCGGGAATAGGAGCCAAGTGGGTGTCTTCCCAGTGGAGCCAGGTGCTTGGGTGATGGGGATGGGGGAGAAAGAAATGAGGGATGAGCCTTGTGGTCCCTCCCTGAGGAGATCACAGTCTCAGGGGAGATGGGCTCAGCCTTTCACAGGCCTCTGGGAGCATAGTCGGGGCACTGGGGCCTTGACTCACTGGATCACAGCTTCAGCTCAAACCGGTACTTGGATGTTTCCGGAGCTTGGCTTTCATTCTGTAGACATGTAGCTCCAGCCACCCTCAGGACCTCTGCCTGCTGTCTTTAGACCCTCAGAATGACATGCCCAGAAATACCCCCACCCCAGATTGCCCCGCCTTTTCCATTAGCAGTAAATGGCATCACTGTTTCCTTAGTCTCCCAGGGTAGAAATCCAAGCATCAGCTTCCAGCCTCTGCCCATCTCCCCAGCCTTCCAGCACCTAGTGACCTGACTCCTGTGAGTCTTCAGCATTGCCTTTCCCTGCGCAGTCTCTTGTCTCCCGCCTTGCAGCATGTCTCCCAGCTCCTGCCCCTCTCTCACCACAGCACAACTACCTGGTCCCCTGGCATCTGGTTCCACCGACAGCCTGAGGTCCCCGAGTCCTCCCTCCTGCTCCGCCCCCCCCCCCCCCACCTGTGCCATACAGCCAGCTCCCTGAGGGGCAGGGATAAGCCTGGAGGTGCCTCTGTTGTCCTGAGGGTCCAGTTTGGGGCCTGGGCCATGGTCGGTGCTCAGGGAATGCTTGGCCAAGCAGGTGAACGTGTGGTTGACGAATGGGCGGGGACATGGCTAACACTCCTAAGAACGATTCAGAAAGGGGAAACGTGGCTTTGGGTGAGGGCTGACAGGCCGAGTAGAGGAGCCTTACTTGAAGTGAGTGGGAGGCCTTCATAGGTGAAAGGAGGGGTTGGCACAGGGGCTTAGGGCATCTTAGCACATTGTGTTTTATGCGCAGGCTTTCAAGCACTTTCACATCTTTCAGTGATGATCCCATTTGAATTGGATGGTTGTCCCATTCTAGAGATGAGGATATCTAGACTCAGGGAGGTGAGATGACCCATGCACTTCACCTTGCAGAGCCAGGGTTCAGAGCCAGGCCTCCCGGCCAGCGAGTCCCACTCTGCACTGCAGGCCCTCACTTGCTCTTAGGTACAGCTTGGCAGCTGCTCCTGGCCCCCATGTGGCAGGTCCTGCTCACGTCCTCTTCCTGCTTGCCTGTCCCCTGTCCACAAGTGATTCCAGCCACTGGCAACGTTACTCACTGGGTGCTGACCCACATCTAAACCCCCTCCACTCCAGTAGCCAAAAGATGTGAAACCCAGGGGCTCTTCAGCTTCTTCCCTGAATGTCTAGAACACTGAGCAGCTAGCACCCTGGGCTGCTCAACTGCCAACTCTTTGAGTTTAAAATGAATTAATAGGCCCTGGAACTTATATTGATCCTGGGTTTAGTGGTTTGGATTTTTGTGGTTATGTGGTCAGTTCCAAAATAGTTCAGTGTTCAGTTCAGTTGCTCAGTCATGTCCGACTCTGCGACCCCATGAATTGCAGCATGCCAGGCCTCCCTGTCCATCACCAACTCCCGGAGTTTATCCAAACTCATGTCCATTGAGTTGGTGATGCCATCCAGCCATCTCACCCTCTGTCATCCCCTTCTCCTCCTGCCCCCAATCCCTCCCAGCATCAGGGTCTTTTCCAATGAGTCAACTCTTCGCATGAGGTGGCCAAGGTACTGGAGTTTCAGCTTCGGCATCAGTCCTTCCAATGAACACCCAGGACTTGGAGTTGGTGCAAAACCCTGTGGGAGAAATGAATTTGATGTCTGTATAAGTATATGAGGGCTTCCCTGGTGGCTTAGATGGTAAAGAATCCACCTGCAATATGGGAGACCTGGGTTCGATCCCTGGAGGAGGGCATGGCAACCCAGTTCAGTATTCTTGCCTGGAGAATCCCCATGGACAGAGGAGCCAGGCAGGCTGCAGTCCATGGATCGCAAAGAGTTGGACACGACTGAATGACTAACCACATAAGTGTATGATGGTCAGAATATAAAGATTTTTTTAATAGGGTTTTTGAAATACATGTTTTATTTCAATTAATTCTCAATAAAAATAAGCACTATATACTTCTCTCCCACTATTCCCACCAATAACAACTCATATTTGCATAACATTTTGCAACATCTAACATACATTTTCATTTGGTTTGACCTTCTCAGTGCAGTAGGTAGCAGAGCAGGTATTTTGTTGTTACTACATCATTAGCCCCATTTTACAGGTGTGGAAACTGAGACTCAGGATCACCTAGCTTTTGAATCCCAGCTTGGGACTTGAACCCAGATCTCCTGACCCCAGATCCTTGCCTTTTCTAGTTTTCCATGTTGTCCAGAACAGTGAGTTAGTGGCAGAGCTGGTCTTAGAACTCGGCTTGCCTTACTCGCAAGGCCAGTGTTCTTTCTACCCACTGATACTTCATTTGTGACCCATGTTCCAGAAACTTCATATTTTGGACTCAGGACTTAAGATGAGCCTCTCATGCTGGGCTTTGGATAGGCTATCCTGCACATGCAAGACAGTGACCAGGATGGGCAGAGCTGGAACCACAGCTGAGACTCAGCCAGGGTCCAGCTGTTAGTTTAGGGTAGGTTGGGGGGAGACAGCAGTTAGGGGTCAGAGCCACGAAGGCCAGCTAGGATTTGGTAAACAGATTATTTGGGGAAGAAGTGAAGCCAGATTAAAGAGGTTAGTGGAGGTCCTGAAACAGAACATGAGCTCCTCTGCTGAGAAAGGGCAGAAGATAAAATGCATCAGTAGAGCCAAGGCTGGGGGGCCAGGCAGGGTCGCCCAGCACTCCTGCAGTGCAGACAGGCCTCAGCGGGGCAGGAAGTCCCAGGCATGAGGACTCACCCATCCCTCTCTGTACAGGCCAGGCTAGCTCACAGGTGGTAACCGTGTCTGTCTCTCCTGCAGCCAGAGCGACTCCAGGGGACCCATTACTCCGTGCAGTCGGACATCTGGAGCATGGGGCTCTCTCTGGTTGAGATGGCGGTCGGGAGGTATCCCATCCCTCCTCCAGATGCCAAGGAGCTGGAGCTGATGTTTGGGTGCCAGGTGGAGGGAGATGCGGCTGAGACCCCGCCCAGGCCAAGGACCCCCGGGAGGCCCCTCAGCTGTGAGTGGCCCAGTGTGGCCCCAGCTTGGACTGTGGGTGGTCCTTTCCATCAGGGGTTTCTGGAAGGCTGGTCCCCTGTCTCTGGATGCCAGGCTGGGGCAAGGGGGAAGTAGAGCATGGGGTTCCAGTGTAGGATATTATCGTTACCAACATCTTCCTTCCTACCATTTGTTGAGTGCCCACTGTGTTCCTGGCACTGCACTTAGTATTTTTTATGTATTATCTAATTTAAAAAATCATTACTTTTTTTAGGTAGATTTTTTTTTAATTGAGGTAAAATTCACATAACATTAAATGCACATTTTGAAGTGTATGGTTCAGTGGTTTTTAGTATATTTCTCCATATCATACAACCATCACCACGTTGTAATTCAAGAACATTTCCATCACCTCCAAAAGAAACCATTTCCATTAGCAGTCACTCACAGCTCCCCTACCTTGACACCCTAGCAATCACCAATCTACTTTTGTCTCCATAGATCTGCCTAGCACTGTCTAATTTTAATAGCAGTCGTGTGTGAGCACTATTATAATTTCCATTTTAGCTATGAGGAAACTGAGGCACGGGGTGCTTGACTTGCCACATACACTTGTCAGTGGCCAGGTCTGATTCTGAGGAGGTAAGCACTATGTAGCACTGCCCGCCTCTGGACTGTAAGGTAGACCCAGTACTTGGAAGATCCTGGCCCTGCCATTACCTTCTGACATTGTTCCTGCCAGGACGTTCCTGTCTGAGGCCCACACGAGGGCATGTATGAGGGAGCAGCAGAGCGGACAAGGGTAGCCGGTGGTGGGCCGCCAGAGGGGCTGGCAGAACCCAGACTCAGACCCTGGCCAGCTGTGGCTTTGGCCAGCCCCCTCTGTGTTCACGCCTTATCTGTGGCTCTTCTATCTCTATTGTCCACAACTTTGTTCTAGTCTCTAAGATCCATGCCCACCCCTAGCCTCAAACTGGCAGTTAACCTTCTGTTTCTGAGAAGTGTTTTCTTTTTTCTTTTTATAAAATTTGTAGCTTATGGAATGGACAGCCGACCTCCAATGGCAATTTTTGAGTTGTTGGATTACATAGTCAATGAGGTAAGGCTTCTGTGATCTTGGAATTTATTTGCTCTTAAGGAAAAAACTCACAATTGGTCTGGGAAACCTCTGAATTGTTCCCACAGCATGGTTTGTCCCTTTCCCAGGAGCATCTTCATATAGCTCTGAGTCCCTCATCCTGATTCAGGAGCCTCCACCTGCTCATTGAATGCATTCTCATCATTCATTCACCAGGCATTGCTTTTTTTCCAAGTGTTTTTGTGCATTTACTATGTGCTAATAAGCACTATGGGATGGCCGTAGGAACGAGGTGGGGGTCCAGAGATGGAAAAACAAAAGTCTCAGGTCTTAAAGCCTGTTAGATTGGGTAAAGGAAGCAAGGCAAACATATGTGTTTTCTCTATATAAAGCAATGAACATAACAGGTGACAGTGTAGAAACAGATATGAAAAATACTCACTATAAGTTGTGTGAAAAAAGCAGGTTGTAAAATAGTATGTACACTATGATTGACTCTTTTAAAAAAGTCTATGTATGCATATTATGTGCACATAAAGTCTGGAAGGTTACATGACAGAGTGTTTATCACCTGACGGAATTACAGGCGATTAGATTACCGCCAGCGAACTTTAACACAGAGACAGGATCTGTGAACTATATATGCTAGTGTGTTTAAATGTAAAAGGGACTGAGGAAGGAAGAGACTGACAAGCATCCATCAGCATGGGCCTGGGGCAACTGGAAGCTACGGACTCTCAGAGGGCGGGGCAGGGCCGGAGGAGCTGGAGGGCAGGACGGAACTTCAGATGGCAAGGCCGGCACATGGGCAGAGGAAGAGAAGGGACGAGCTGTGGCCTGTTTGGGAGGCAGCTGGAGGCCCCTACTCCGCTGAGGAGCATGGTAACAGGCATTGCCCCATTCTCTTCTTCAAGGCCAGTGGAGTAACTTTTCAGGCTTTCTCATTTCTAAAACTAGACCCCCAAAGGGTCACAAGTTCCCCTTGGTCATTACAAATTCAACAGGGAAAATCCTGGCTCACCACAGCAGTTAAAAAAAATCACTGCCACTGGTTCACAGGTTACTGGGCTCATTTCAGCTCTTTACTGCCTGACTGCTCAGCTTTGTGCTAAGCACTGTGGGAAGTGGAGGGTCTGACCTAAGCTGCATAAGGCTGCAAGGAAGGTAGACTGTGTTGTATGTATATGAGGAAAGTCATCCTCTCCTGCTGGGACCCAACTTTCTTCCAGACCCAGCTGTCTGCCAGTTAATGTTTTACTAACCTTTCTGCACTCCTTCAGAGCTCAGAAGGGGGTGAACATTTTATTGGTCAGCCTTCTGTGATATCTGCAGGGCTGGACTATGCCTAGTGGTTTGCACATCCTCCTAGCTGCTGCTTCTAGTAGTTACTGGCTGTTTCCCTGCCACACTCCCAGATGTATGGTGGTGGAGCCTCAGAGCTAAAAAGGGTCAGCTGAGGCTGAGAGGAAATGATTTATTCATTCATTCACTTGGCCCCAGTTCTGACTGGTTTGAGACTGACGGTTCCAGCAGGGAAAGCCGGCAGCAGCCAGTGGCCTCTCACCCCCGGCTTTCCTTACCTGGACAAGGGTGGCACTGCCCAGGGGCGGGAGTGGGGCAGGCAGAGGAGGGTAGGGCAGGGCATTTCTTAGGTCTGTGTGTGTACTTGCAGCCTCCTCCAAAACTGCCCAGTGGAGTATTCAGTCTGGAATTTCAAGATTTTGTGAATAAATGGTAAGTCACCTCCTTGTCTGAAAGTACTTTGGTTTTGTCAGGCTCCCCATCCATCTTGGGAAGCACAGCTTCGCCTTGCACCCTTTAGCTTCTGCCCTTCTTCCAAAGTGCCAGGACTCAGGTGACGTGTCTTACCGCAGCAGGGGGCAGAACAGCTGCTGCGCTCAGCTCCTGCTGTAGAGGGATGGCCCTATTGCCTTTTGGCCTTAATTTAATTCAACAAGTGTTTATTAACCTACTGTGGGCATGACACTCTGCTAACAGGAAGGTGGGTAAGGCTTAGGCACTCTTCCTCAGAGCCTGCGGGGTGTGGGGAGAACAGGGCATGCACACATTAAGTAATCTGAGTTAGAACCAGCAGCAGGCAATAGCTCACACTGTCTTTCTTCCTTTAAGCTTAATAAAAAACCCCGCAGAGAGAGCAGATTTGAAGCAACTCATGGTGAGTGATTTATTCAAATTCTGACACTGTCATTTGCTGCATTTCATTTGTTGTTCTGTCAGTCACCCACCCAGTGCTTGCTGAGCCCATACCCTGCTCTGCCATGACTGCTGTGGCCTAGCTGATCTGGGGCCTGCAGGACACCAAACTCATCTCCTTGGTCTTCCCATCGGTTTCATGGAAAAGCAGGGATAACCCTGCAGCCAGAGGGGATCCAGGGAAAGAAGGGGCCAGCTCGCCCCACAGGGGGACAAGGCTTTCTGCAGCACTGACTGGCCTGTTTTGTGTTCGGCATCCTCACCAAGTAGCTGTCTCCTGTGTGATGGCAGAGGAGCGGAGTCCTCTAAGTGCCGGTGCTTACATGCTGTGTGGAGCCTGGTCGGCGTAACACGCGCTCTCAGGTCCATCAGCTCTCCTGTTCCTTCAACAGCCGTAAGGCAGAGCTGCTGTCTCCATCTCATGGAGAGCAGGCTCCGGGAAGGGGTAAGACCAGCGGAGCCAGGGCTCTAGGCAGGCACTTAGACAAGGGGAGGCTCCCAGAGCTCCTTCCGAGAGCAGCACAGCCTCCAGACCCAGGACTCTTGAATTTTCTTTTTTGGCTTTTAAGCACACTTATGTCCATTTCTTCACACACAGGTTCACGCTTTCATCAAGAGATCTGATGCTGAGGAAGTGGACTTTGCAGGTTGGCTCTGCTCCACCATCGGCCTTAACCAGCCCAGCACACCCACCCATGCGGCTGGCGTCTAAGTGGTTGGGAAGCACAGTCCCTGCCCAGGGGCATGCCGCGCCGCTTCCGGGCGGCCTCCCATGTCTGCCTCTGTTCAGACGTGCATTCACCCATGACAAGGGATGAAGAACACAGCATGTGCCAAAATTCTAGTTGTGTCATTTTCAATATTATCATCTTTACTCTTATTACTGTTGTTATCCCCTAAGTGGATTGGCTTTGTGCTTGGGGCTATTTTTGTGTATACTGATGATGAAAACATGTGCAATGTTGAATTACAGTGAAACTCTGGTGACTGTGGGTAGTCATTCTTACTGAAAACTGCACTGCTTTCCCACACCATGAACTGGCTGGTCGCCTCTATTTTTGGGATTCTTTGACACTTGGTGGTACTTCATTCTTGCCAGGCATACCTTCTAACTGAGTAGGAAGGGGCCTTGTAAGATCCTTCACAGGCAGTGCATGTGAAGCATGCTTTGCTGCTATAAAAATGAGCATCAGAAAGTGTGTATCATGTTATTTTATTATGTTCTTGCTTTTGGCATAGAATTCAGCAATTTTCATCAAAATCTAGCCAGAGCCCTTCACTGCCATGATAGCTGGGGCTTCACCAGTCTGTCTACTGTGATAATTTGTAGACTTCTGGTTATATTTCTATATTTATTTTTAAATATACCGTGTGGATATTTAGTGCTGTCTCTCTAAGTTTGGATTAGTGTTTCTAAAATGGTGGAGTTACTCTGAGTGTTACAAATGGATCAAGGCATTAAAATAAAGGAGATCTACCTTTCACCAAACCCAAGTACTGATGCTATTGCAAACAACAGCGTGTACAGTGCCTAAAAACTATGAAAATCCTTTAACCATCTTAATCCAGATGTCTGACAACCTAATCTCTTACTCTAATAAATGTACTATCAAATTCAAAGGATGAAAACGATTTCTGCTTTTGTGGTGGCATTTTCAGTGTCTGTAGTGGACAAATCATCAAATGATTTAGCAGCCAGGCATTAATGAGGGGGGAAATGCAAAGACAGGAAGGAAGCTGGAAGGCGGAAATACCACACTAAGAACAAGTTCAGTGCTTTGGACCAATGTAGCTTCCTGTAATTCTAATCTTTGGACTTTGTCCAGTTCTTCTCAGCAAGCACCCTTATCTTCCAGCCACCTTTCCTGTGGACCTGTGAACAGATCCCATTGATTTCTTCCATCTCTTTATACAAGGGGAAAGCAGGAGGAGGGGGTAGCAGTGGGGGGCAGCCGGCACTGGAGCCTCCCCCCGGGACTGCGCTGTGCTGCTCACCCCACTAAGCCATGGCTTCCCCGCTCTCACCAGTTACAGCTGACACGCGTCCCTGGAGAGGAGAAGAGTGCTGGGCACTGACTTCCGTGCCTGTGGGCTGGCTGTGAAATTGCAAAAAAACCCCCACAAAGCCGTGTCCTAACTGGCCCGCCCTTTCTTTGAAAAGTAACTTTTGAGATTTAGGTTATATATGAGGCTGCCTAATCAGCACTTCTTCCCTCATTTTCTTCTTTGAAAGAGCAGGTGATAGAAAACCAAAATAAATATTTGTTTAAACACTTATTTCATTTTCAAATTAAAAACAGTAAATCTCCTAAGTAGGTAGTTCCACTGCAGATCTACGAGAGCCTGAGAGACAGCCAAGATTTTAAATACTGGTCAATACTATATATACAAGGCTGCCTCAGCCAATCAATCATTTTTCCCCCTGAGAGGCTAACATCTGCTCTATAAGTCAACAGTCTAACTCACATGTTTTCAACAAGAAACATTCAGATGAGGTTAAAGAACCACACCCTCCTCGCATCCAGGGTCTTTTCCTAACAGAGAGGATGTCACCACCTCTTGAGAATGTCTCACTGAAATGTGTAAACTGCCCTCAGCAGTGAAAGCACAGGAATCCTCACCACTGGACCACCAGGGAATTACCAATAGTTGGATTTTTAAGTGATACCTCATTAGCATCTCACGAGGATCCCTGAAACTGCTAGAGCAGATGTGAATACTCATTTTATAGACGTGAGAGAACTCCCGAAAAGGTGAAAAGCAAGCAACCAATTGGTCGTCAAGCTAGAATTCATACCCAACTTTTCCAACGCCCATGCTTGTATCTGACATTAGACCCCAAAATGTATACCCTGATGCTTTTTGTTGCAAAATGATATTCACACTGTGTTTTACAAGAAATATGTTCATTTAAGCTTCTGGCTACTTCATGTAAGAGTAGCTTAAGATAACTTTAATGAAACAAATCGATTTGTTTCACTGATTTAATGAAACATCGATTAACAAATATGTCTATGCTCTCTCCTAGAACAGTTGTGTAAGAAGCTATGCCTAAGAAGGTTGTGTTTTGTTTGGCTTTTCTATTTCTGGGCAGGGCAAATTACTTTTATAAAATCAAGCAACTACATATTTGTGTATTCACTGGAAAAGGGACAATATGCAAAAATGAGTGTCAACTTAAAATATGAAGTTTCTCTTATTCTGCTGTCAATTCTTTATGAAATCCAATCTCCCAAGCCTCATGATCCTTCTTCAATGGCACAATTCCTAAGTCTAGAAATGGGTTTAAACCATCCTACTGTATCGTTCACCCCAGAGGAACTGATCCTTTGGTCTGTTGTCTGGAAAGTGGCAAGCCGCATGACAGCTATTTATCTGTAACTTATTTCTAATCGTTTTTATCATAATGATGTCTCAATCGAGGTGTGATGACACCCACACATAGCGTGTAGTAGGCAGTGTTACGATGTCACTGAGAGGTGGCAGCAGCCTGGGCTCTCAAGTGCCCTCTGTCTCCTCTTTGTCATCTTTCTCTCTCAGACTGTAGCCTTGCTCTGCTCACAAGGGTTCAGTGGCATGCGAACAGTGTTTAAGTGGTTTTCTTAATAGAGGCATTGTTGGCTGCAAGGCTGGCTTGTATTTAAACTCTGCCCTTTTTGCAGATGCCAGACCTTCTCAATAGCATTTCAGAGGAAGTTTTTTGTTTAGAAGGCAACTATTCAGTCTGACCAGCCTATAAACACAGCACCACCCATACTGCTCAATACTGAAACACTGCATCTCTGCTCTTCTGTCACCAACTTTCGTTAAAGCACTCTGAAACCTGAGTTACTGATGGAACTATTATTACAACTCCACATCCTCCTAAAGTTCATGCTTCCTTTTAAAGCAGGCTATAGGGCCCATGAGCACTCTTTGAAGAGAGAACGTCTCTGAGACTTGGAATTAACTCGCACGACTAACCCGGCTCTTCTCCCCGTCAGGAGTCTGACTCCTCCTCCTCCTCCTCCTCCTCCTCCTCCTCTTCTGGCACATGGCTCCTTGTGCTCAACTCCAGTGCCGTTTGGTTGATCGATGCTTCATTGTCTACAAGCACCAGCATCTGCTTTAGTCAAGGACATTACAGATTAGTAGGAAGAACATTAGCCTGAAAAGAAATTCTTAATGTTTTATAATAAAATCTCAATTGTATATTCTCAGATGGCTAACAAACACATGAAAAGATGCTCAACATCACTCATTATCAGAGAAATGCAAATCAAAACCACAATGAGGTTCCATTACACACCAGTCAGGATGGCTGCTATCCAAAAGTCTACAAGCAATAAATGCTGGAGAGGGTGTGGAGAAAAGGGAACCCTCTTACACTGTTGGTGGGAATGCAAATTAGTACAGCCACTATGGAAAACAGTGTGGAGATTTCTTAAAAAGCTGGAAATAGAACTGCCATATGACCCAGCAATCCCACTTCTGGGCATACACACCGAGGAAACCAGATCTGAAAGAGACACATGTACCCCAATGTTCATCGCAGCACTGTTTATAATAGCCAGGACATGGAAGCAACCTAGATGCCCATCAGCAGATGAATGGATGAGGAAGCTGTGGTACATATATACCATGGAATATTACTCAGCCATTAAAAAGAATGCATTTGAATCAGTTCTAATGAGATGGATGAAACTGGAGCCCATTATACAGAGCGAAGTAAGCCTGAAAGATAAAGACCATTACAGTATACTAACACATATATATGGAATTTAGAAAGATGGTAACGATAACCCTATGTGCAAAACAGAAAAAGAGACTCCTATGTATAGAACAGACTTGTGGACTCTGGGAGAAGGCGAGGGTGGGATGTTTCAAGAGAACAGCATTGAAACACGTATATTATCTAGGGTGAAACAGTTCACCAGCCCAGGTTGGGTGCACGAGACAAGTGCTCGGGCCTGGTGCACTGGGAAGACCCAGAGGGATTGGGTGGAGAGGGAGGTGGGAGGGGGGACCGGGATGGGGAATACATGTAAAAAAAAAAAAAAAAAAAAAAAGATACACTATGGATGTGATAAAAAAAATAAATAAAATTTAAAAAAAAAAAAAAGTAAAAAAAAAAAAAAAAAAAATCTCAATTGTATATTCAATCCCAATACTATCACTAAGAAGTGTGGCCACTTTCCTATTTCTCCAAATTCTACCCTGACACCCCCCCCCCCAACCCCCACGGCCAAAATGAGAGCACAGTAAATGCCCTGGATTTGATAGAAAATTACCTGATTTACATACATGGTTCTTACATAAGAATTATATACTGGCTTAGCTGTGCTGCTTTCAAATGATTTTAAACACTTAACACACAGCTGGGAGAACATTCAAATATGGTTTATCTAGATGATTTTCCTGAGGGCCCTTCGTAAGAGAAGGATATGAGGAGGACTAGAACTCTACTTCTAGGCTTTGTGGCTGAAGCTACGGTCTATTATCAAATCCTAAGCTTACTTATTCATCACACTCTCCCTAGTTCACTGGAGTGACTAGAGAGAATGGAAGAGTGGGAAGGTGGAAGCAATATAATAGCACAGCCAACCAAAGTGTACCCAGCTGGTAGATGTTCCCTGTTTAAAAGAGTAATATACACTGGTCAGTTAATTAAACCAGAAGATTCTTATTAGCACTCCCCAGAGTTCTTTGGGCTTGATAAGGTAATCTACAATTTCTGATCCCTAGCAGCGTAAGAGCAGAATGGACTGCATTCTCTCCCCAGGCTCACACTGATTAAGCTTACATCATGTGATGGTTCTGGTACAGGCTGAGAAGGCAGCATCTCACCTCTTCTAGAACTAATCATCGACTGGAGGGCCAGCTCTTCAACCTAGAAAGAGTGGAGGACACTTTCTTTACTACGTCACCGGGCTACCGATGTGGGTGAAATGTACTGAGCATGCTCTGAGAGGTAGGCATCAGAAGTGAAAACAATGTAACCTCGGTGAAGCTCTAGGGGGCAGGGATGGGGCTCCTCAAGCCTTCCGGGCCTCTAAAGGAAACAGCGTAGAAAGCTTCCTGCCCCTTTCTCCTAGGGTGAACAGGTGTTCCAGCTGAGGCGAGGCTTCCACTCACCCAGACCTAGCAGCTCAGGGGAGGAAAACACAAGCATGCCCTTAAAAAAGCCAAGTGTGTTCTGATTCCACACGACCCAGTCTGTCTACCCTGTAATGAGACAGCGAAGGCAGGAAGAATGGAAAATGACAGCGTTTCCTTGCCACTGCTGGCACGCACACAGGCGCTGTACAGGCACTGCCTGTGTCCTGAGGGAAAGCACACGATTTTCATAGGTCTCAGTTTACGAAGGGCCTTCATAACCCGAAAGTGCCCAGCAGGGATTAGGAGGAACATCTCACTAAAGGGGGATTCCTCCGCACAGATCTGGGACATGGCTCTAGCGGGTTTCAATCTAAACTCCTCAACAAGGCAGCTGAGTCGGTAACAGATCCGGGGAGGAAAACTACCGGGAACTATTTGGCTTGGTCAAAAAGTTCGTTCATCTTACATCCTACGTTCACTGTTTATCTGTAGCATCTTTTTGGCAAACCTAGTACTGTGGCAGGGTCTCTTCTGGAAGGGCCTTGCTGTCTCCTTTTGCACAGTGGAACATCCGCGACTGGGCTGCCTTTGTGAGACCAGAGCTGTATCAGGCGACCATACCAGGTAGTAAAGAGAGACTAGTAAATGCTGCAGGGGCTCGGGAGGTGAGGCAGGGGCCGTCTAGGCGAGCTTCGGAGGGTCGCCCTTCCTCAGCGCGTGGTGCGGACCGCCCACGTTTACCGGGCTGTAGTGGTCCGGTGGGGGTAGTAGTGTACTCGCCAAACTCAGATGAATGAGCCTCAGCCTAAACCTATGGGATCAATATTCTTAGAAAGGTGGCCCATAGTCTCAAATCCAGCCCCCCTCGGTGCCTGTCTACGCCACCAGGTCTGGGCGCGAAGGCCAGGTGAGGAAAAGCTAATCGGCAGCAGGCGGGCGCCACAGACGCCTGGGCTCCGCGTAGAGCGCGGCGGCCTAAGGCGCGGGAACAACTGAATGGAGAAGTGGGGGGCGCGGGGTCACCTTGAGCCGGTTCAGCTGGTCGTGCAGAGCCGCTTTCAAGCGGAGCAGCGTCTCCTCCTCCTTGCGCAGCTCCTGCAGCCGGGTCAACATCTCGACTCTCCACGCAGGCGGCCCGCCGGGTCGCTTGATGATGACGCCACCTCCGCGCTACCGGAAGCGGAAAAGCGCTCTGGGAGGGGCTGGCGGCACTCTGGGGCGGTGTAGCCTCTTCCTACCGGCGCCTGCGCTCGTTTCCCTTTCGTGAACGTAAACTCATGGATAGCCAAACTTGGTTGTAAATCGAACACCTCAAACTCCGGTGATTAGAACTCCCTAGAGCAAAGGGTGTTGGCGATCTACAGGACCTGGAGATAAAAATGGTTAGATACTTGTCTGTCAAGTACTTCAGCTGAGCAGTGCTGTTCTTTCATCGGTGGAGGCTAATTTAGCTCCTCCAAACTTGCAGACGCACTCGAAGGGACTGTCACCAGCAAACAGCAATCAGTCCAAGAGCCCTACCGAGTTGAAGGCTCAGGCAGGCGAGGATTCCTGGTTACAGGAAAGGGGTTTCCAAGTAGGACTGTGCCAGTTAGAGGGCAGGAAGGTAACTATATTTTAGGCTGGACAATGCTTTCTTATACTAAAGAACGGAGACCCCTTGACCTATAAATGGGAGGATAGACTGCCAGTGGGGCAAAACAGAGATGCAAAACAAGACCCTGACGAGGGAAGCACAGGTCACTTCTGAGGTGTTAAGACAGTGACCCGAGTTAAAAGCTTTGGAAAAACTTCTGGGTACATCCTCTGCATAAGCATACTAAACCTGAAATACACAAGTGACTGGAAAAAACCACCTGGCACTTTTTATACCAAGGGTCCAAGTATTAAAACGTTGGCAAGCATCTCTTCCATCAGTTGTACTACATCACAGAAGACTTAACACTTCTGAAGGAAAAATGAATTTATTGTTATCCTTTATAAAATGTTCTCTGAATCTGCCCTCTTGTGGTTATCGAAAATGTCAAATCTTTATGGAACATGGTCCATTTTCCAAGGTGGTTTTGGGGGGAAGCTAAACAATGAGTTCCTATGTATTTCTAAGTCTTTAAACCGTTTGTCAAGTTACTTTAAAAATGGATCTTACACCTGAATTTATGCAACATCTTGCTTCTCATTCATCTTGGATTTATACTAAACCCAAGGCTCCATTTTATACAACTTAAAGTTATCAGTTAAAAAAAAAACAACAAAAAACACTAACCGAAACTCACAACACATCCAAGTCATGTTCTCATTGCCTCTTTGTTCAGGTCTTTATTCAAAATTAGCTGTCCAAAATGATTTGGCATTTATGGAATAAACAAATTTAAGTTTATGCAGCAGCCTTCTTTTCCTCTGAGGTGGGTTTCTTTTCTGTGGGCTTCTTCTCAGCTGCTGGTTTCTTGGTTCCTGCAGCCTTTTTTCCCACCACAGGCTTCTTCAGCTTCTTATCGCCAACAGCCTTCTTTTCTTTGTTTCCCACCACAGGCTTCTTGCCCTCAACCCCCTTCTGATCTGATTTGGCTTCTAGTGCTGCTGCTGCCTTATCCATGCGGATTTTGTGCTGCAACAAATCAGGAAGAAAATCTAAGAATCAAATCTTTCTAAAACTCAACAGATCCAACAAAACCCAAATTATTGCCTACATTCTTGGCCTGTCGAAGAATGGTGTTCCGGCGCATGGTCTTTGCGTATGGGTTGAGCTTCAACATGATTCTCAGGTTTTTCAGTGGATTCTTCTTCAGGACTCTGCGATGAATCTTCTTGCTATAAAAAAGTAGATACTCTATTATTAATAGTTTATACATTATCCATATTTCTGAAATACCTGGTAGTGTGAAGCTGGACAAGAATTACTGTGAATATCAAAACTTTACCGTGGTGCTCGGAGTGCTCTTTGGATTTCTGGGCTTTTCAAGATTCTGCTAAGGTCTGTATTGAGCATCTTGTGCATGGGGAGGCTGAAAGAAAAACATTTAACAACAGAGGCTTAATTCCTACTTCTTAACAAAAGATTAATAATTTAAGCTCTACAGAATCCAATCAATTTCCACTATACTATCCCTTCCCAGAATCTATTTCCACATATTGTATCTGTACACAAGGAGGAAATGGCAACACAATGCATTACTTAGAAAACATGCAAATCCGTTGTGAACAATATCCACAGCATATATGTGGAAGTCCTTGCTGTCTCAAGTGCCAAGAGTAAGGCACTACTTAGTGACTGTGAACAACAGCATAACCATCTATGTCCAGCATACAAATTATACTCACTTGTAGTTACTCTTGAGGGAGGCTGCTTTACGCCAAGTGCCGTACAGCTCATCTAACTTTCGGAAAGCACTTTCAGTCCAAATGCAGAAACGTCCCACATGACCACCAGGAGCAAGTTTCAAAATGTTCAGCTTGCTTACATTAAGCAGAGTAATTCCTTTGTTTGGAAAAGTTTGGAAAAGGAGAATTAGGGATCCTGTATTTCAATAGGTGAAATGCAGGTCGTCTTTATAGCACCTAAGAAGTATTTTAATCATAAATTTAAATATCAGAAGTTCCACAAAATCATGTGTTTCAGAAACACGGACCATAAAGTGGAATCTCATCATAATAAAAGCTGGGTAAGCTTGCATAATACAGGTAATTAAAACATGTAAGCAGTACAATTATTACCAGGGATGTTTCTGAAGGCCTTGATGATACCATTGTCTTCATTATAGATGATGCAGGGTCCCCTGCGCTGGATACGGCGACGGTTTCTCATTTTGCCTTTGCCAGCTCTCATTCGCTGAGAGGCGTAAACCTAAGAAAGTAAAGTTTGGTATTCTGACTTGATCCCTGTATTAAATCTTCATAGTTTAAAAAACTTCAGTTTTACAGATGAGGAAATTGGGAGGCACAAATGACCTGCCTAAATTTAACATAGCAACGAGCTTTCAAACTCAGGTAATACTGCTCTCATATCAACTAAGGTTTACTTGTACTGTCTTTCAGTAACCTTTTGAAATGTAAAATCTCACAACAAACTTGTGTCAAGAACCACAAAACCTACCTTTTTGATATCATTCCAGGCCTTAAGTTTCTTCAGAAGCAAAACAGCCTCCTTGGTCTTCTTGTAGCCTTCAACTTTATCTTCAACCACCAAAGGAAGTTCAGGAACTTCCTCTATACGATGACCTGACAAAGCCAATTAACATTGACCTGGTTACCCTGCACCCTTTGAAAAATTTAATCAAACCCACAAAATCAAAGTGGCACATTTGCCAAATCAGAATTACCACAAAGATCATGTGCTTCAGAAACACGGACCAATGAAGTGGAATCTCATCATTTTGACAAATGATGTAAAAATTACCTCATTACATAATATTCACTGAGTTGTTAGACTGAAGTGGTTATAACTAGCATTTAGTAGAGGGAAGTGTATGTAGTCAAGACACTCTAAGGTGAAGAGAATTTACACAGGCTATCAGGTTTACAGGATTCCTAGAAAATAAAGTATCACAAACCTTTAGACATGACCAGGGCTGGTAAGGCTGAGGCAGCCAGTGCAGAGCAGATAGCATATCGCTTCTGTGTTGTATTCACTCTGCGGTGCCAACGTCGCCAGGTCTTGGTTGGTGCAAACATGCGGCCCCCACGACACATCTGTTTTCTCAGTTAAGAATCACATTTCTCAAATTTTAGCAATTACAAACATGTTATGCCTTGCTCAGTAAGAACTTTCGTCACCCTTCTGAACCAGCCTACTGACAGCAGGCAACTGTCGCTGAGAACAGAGTAAGACGCAAATTACGACATCATTGCAGGCAAAACCTTTTAACGCCAAGCCTGTCGACTTTAAAAATGACAGAAAAACATCTTCCAAATATCAAATCTGTTTGAAAAGCGTTTAATCTGGACATTAGTGTCTTGAGCACAAATATTTTCCAATCACTAAAATGAATAAGCCAGGTTCAGTCTGCCAGATGCGGCAGCTGACCAGTCTAGGTGGGGGAAGACAAAGGATACATTTCCAAAAGCACCCTGACCAGAACGGTGAGTGCCGCCACCTCGAACCCTGGGAATTCGAGCCACAGCTCTGCCGGTACCCCAAGACTCAGCACTGGTTTGATGACCTGAAATTGTTCAGAAACACAAGCTTTAGCTCCCTACCACACCATTCTATGACTACTGTGTACGGCAGCAAACAGCATCAGAATATCCAGGAAAATCATGTTGTTCAGAAACACGGACCAACGGAGTGGAATTTCATCACTGCTGTGAAGTACCCCTTAAAATGTCAACCCAGGAAACAGCTAAATCCATACCTGCTAATTCACTGACAGCATAGGGCTGTCTGTTGTTTTTGCGCAAGTTGGTGTGAACAAAGTTAACAATATCGGGTCGAATGGGAGCCTTGAACACAGCAGGCAAAGTGACATTTTTGCCAGAGGACTCCCCCTTTTCGGAGTACACTGATATCAGTGGACGAGCACACGCCTGAAAAAAACAAAGTATTTATATTGAGAAACATCATCAAAAGCACTCTTCTCAAGCGCCAACAAAAGCATTAAAGGTTCATTTACAGAAAAGTCTAGTATTTGATGAGGTAGATATCGCTTAGGCCAAAAACAAAGGCTAAGTTATCAACACACCATCAGGTCTATTAACATCAGTAAGTACTTGAGACACCCCTAAATTTCTCAAGTTCTGCCACAGAATTTCCATCATTTTCAAAGAGATTGCTTTATTTTTAAACTTTCGAATCGGGCTTTAAAGAGCTAGATAATAAAAACCAGAGGGTAAGGTTTGAAAATGCAGTTTATTGTCATCATACAAACTCTCTCTCCCCAAATGTGACCAAACCTTATCTACCAGGGCTCTACTTCAAATATTCATCCTTCCCGGTCATCCGATTCCAAACACATCTTTCAAAACTTACTACTAAAGAACAGCCTTGTTACTTCTTGCTCGATTTTCTCCAAAAACTTACCCCATGAAAGTAAAAGGTCCTAAGCATGACCTACAGAACCTGTTCAACCTCGCTGCCCACAGCCCACACTCTCTTCCAGATGCTCAGGCCTACACTCAGGGCCACCCCTCTCCTTCCTCAGATTTAACAAGTATTCTACCTAAACATACCCTTCCTCACCTAGCCTCCTTCAGGTGTCTCTGATCACGGCTTATAAAGTCCAATTACCGCCTCCTCTCCAATTCCATGTCTGCAACACTACCATCGAATATTGCAATGCATCTTGACCAACCCAATGACGATCGAAGTAACATACTAGTGCTTTCTGCATATTTTGTTCACTGAACTACTTAAGGCACACGGTGCTTTTACAAACCTTATTTATGCAGTAGCTACAAAACAATTTAAATTTAAGGCAAGAGCAGAATGCTTCCAGAGGCAATTGTTAAGATAAGCACACAGTAATAAGAAATAAGTGAAATCAAAGTTTTCTGTTTAACGCAATCTCTCTTAAAACTTAAGTATTCCTCACTCAATAGGGTATGGAGACACAAGACCCCAAATTGACCCACCTACCCTTAGTCTAACGCTCTGAGAATTTCCAAGCCTTCAGCGGAACCCATACTTTCTAAGATCCACGAGAAACTAGAACCCCAAAGGTCCCTCTGGCTCCAACTATCTGCGGTTCCTCAGTGTTATTCTAGACGTGCCCGGCGCCGGCCCGCACACGTTGCCTCTAAGATGGCTGCCGTAGAGCATTACTACCCACGTCCCAGTCACAAACACACGCCTTTGGTCCCCATCTCCTTCTCCTCGCTTCCCTTCCTGAAGACTTCATGCTCTGAACACCCAAGCCCATTCCTCCCAAACCCCGAAAAAAGAAGCAGGTCCAGAGGAGAAGTGTTCTGCTCACCATGGCGGGGAGAGGAGAAGGCCACGCTCCTCTCAACCCGGCGGCTCCCACAGGAAAAGGAAGTGCCTTGCACTCCCACTCCATATGTAACCTTCAGCTCGTCTCCCAGCCTGCCCCACCTCAGAACCAACTCAGGGACATAAAATATCTCTTTACCACGCTAAAACAATAAAAATAGCATATTATTTCTTCACATATGTCAAATTACGGTATTTATTGACTTCCAAAGCCAAGAAGAGCTCTTAGAACCCAGGGACTCCTTTTCGCGGAGTAATCCATGAGATGCCATGGACAACTCTCGCGAGACGAGTGTCTCCCCCCCCCCGCCCCGCCCCCCCCCCCCCCAACCAGTATAACTTACTTGAACTTTTTCTTACGGGAAGGGGAAACTTTTGAGACAGGAGAAACCGCTCTGTAGTATAAAACAATAGTTTTAACTGTAAAAACTGTTAAACCTGTTAGAGGGGGTTAAAAGTAGTCCCGGCAAGGAGGTCACGACCCCGTACGTCAGTGCCCGGCGCGCATTTCAGTTTGGCGGTTTCGGGTCTTCACCAGTGGGGCGCGATGTGGTCGGGAGCTAACAGAGCTGCTGAGGAATTTTACGCTGGTCTCCTGCAGTGAGTTGTAGCCCCTAGTTTTGGCTTGGCTTTGGCGACAGCACTTCTCCCCTGGGGTATCTCGATCCCCCTCCAAGCCTCTTGCCGCAGCCTTAGGGATTAGCGCCTTCCCAGTTTCCACCAGCGCGAATTTGTAAATTGAGTGCGCTTTCCGGGGATCGGAGCAGCAGAGAGGCCGGTTTTCTGCTCCATTGTGAGGTTGGCCCGGTAGGCCTTGTTGGTTATAGTCTCGTTTAGAAGAAAATGTCGCCGGCGGTGGAAGGTGACGAATTTTACGAGAGGTGTATTATTCAATCTGATAATGCACACACAACTTGTGATATGTTAGAGGCATCGAACAGGATACAGAAACCTAGATGTTGATATCGTTCACCTGTTTAAAGCCTTGCTGGTGTGAAACGTGTTTTATAGTTTATTCAAGATAGTTTTTTGAGCAACAGTCATAATGATAACGTGATGGTGTGTCTGCTCTTCAAAACACTTGTTTTACAGTGCCCTAGGACTTCGTTTTATAGTGAAAGTGAAGTCGCTTAGTCGTGTCCGAGTCTTTGCGACCCTATAGACTGTAGCTCACCAGGCTCCCCCGTCCATGGGATTTTCTAGGCAAGAATATTGGAGTGGGTTGTCATTTCCTTCTGTGGGGCATCTTTCCGACCCAGGGATCTAACCCGGGTCTCCCGAGTTGCAGTCAGACTCTACCATCTGAGCCAACAGGGAATCCTTATATAGTGAAGTACTATTAATAAAGTGGATTCCATCCAGTTCTGTATCCGACACAAAAATCGAATCCAGTAGTTCTCAAATTTGAGCGTGAATCAGAATCACCTGGCAAGTTGCCAAAACAGATTGCCGGGCCCACTTCCAGAATTTTTGATTTAGTAGGCTTGAGTGAAGTGGGATGAGATGGTTAGATAGCATCTCCGACTCAATGGACATGAATCTAAGCAAACTCTGGGAGATGGGAAGGACAGGAAAGCCTGCGTACTGCAGTCCATGGGGTCACAGGAGTCAGACAAGACTGAGGGACTGAACAACAGCAGGTTCTGGGTAGGGCTAAAGAGTTTCCCTTTCTAATCAATTTCAGGTGATTGCTGGCCTGACACCACACTTTGATAACCAACTGTTGTAATCTAACCCCTTTTCTAAATATCATACTTTTTCATTATTTGTCTTCATTGCTTTTTATTCTACTTATAAAAGTGGTAATGCTTGTCAATTTTTTCAACATTGTAGAAAGATCACTAGCTTTTTTTTTTTTTTTTAGAGTTTAGTGACTGATCAGTTTTAAGGACCAAGGAGAAAAAGGAGCTTTAGGTGGTACCAGGATTTCTAGTTTAAGGACTGGGCTTTGACTATTTTTCAATTATGTGTTCTTTTTTTTAATTTTTATTTATTTATTTCATTTATTCTTATTAGTTGGAGGCTAATCACTTTACAGTATTGTAGTGGTTTTTGCCATATGTTGACACGAATCAGCCATGGATTTGCATGTGTTCCCCATCCCAATTCCCCCTCAGATCACTAGCTTTTTAAAGCATTTACTTATATTTGTTTATTTGGCTGCACCAAATCTTAGTTGCAGCCCCTGAGATCTTCATTGCCACGTGTGGGATCTTTAGTTGTGGCTTGTGGGATCCAGCTCCCTGACAGGGGTTTGAAACCAGGCACTCCCTGCATTGGGAGCCTGGAGTCTTAGCCATTGGATCACCAGGGCAGTCCCTCACTAGCTTTTTCTTTTAACTAACAATATGTTGGGTAGCTTTCAGTATGACAGCCTGTAGATCTGTTTTTAATGGCTATATAATATTTCATTGTTTGGCTATTTTATGTTTATTTAACCAGTCCCTTGTTGATAAATTTTATTTAGACTCATAATTCTTTCATACGTGTTAGTACTTCTTTCCACTTGGAAGCATCAATTGTCTGTGTGTCTTCTCTTTAATCCCTCATATTACCTGTGTAGCCACCTGCCTACTGGAAATCTCCAAGTGAGACCTCAAGCTCATTATCTGTGAAGCGGGATCCATCTATTCCCTGCCATGCGACAGTTTCCTGAATTCTGTCTCTGAGTTATGAGTTCCAAGTCCAAGCCTGTCATTTGGTTCTGTTTTCTGCCACCTCCATCCCATCTAGTCAGTCACCAGCTACCTTTGTTTTCCCTCTATCCTGACTGCCTTGTTTACCATCATCACTTTTTGAAGTACTACAAATTATTCAGTTATTTTCTGGCCTCCAAGTTTATCCCTCCACATCAGGAAGTCAGGGAGGTTTTCTCATTTAAAATCTTGTGGTGAGCTCCTCTTAGCTTTCAGGGTAAAGTTTAAGCCCTGTGTGCCACCACAGCACCCTGTATTGCAGTTGTTGGCTGCAGCAAGACTGTGAGCCAGGAACTATGCATTTGTTTTATATCTTAGACATTTAGTAAGAATTGTTGACTTAAAAAATGCACAACCTAAAATTACTGTTATTCAGGGGCCTTACTGAGTAGTATAGCCTGGCAATCAGCTTCAGATAGCTCTAAAGAACTGTTCCTAAAAGGTAAGGGAGGACCCAGAATATATAGGAGTTTTGCTGGGGGAAATAACAAACAAAAATGTATTAGTTGAACATCAAAAGTTTACTACTAATCCCAAGAACAGACATCTCAAGTGAATGATTATAGTGCTTTTCCACTTTTGGGAAGGTGCAGGAGTCTGGGCTCATTGAAATTATTCCTTCGGTGTGTATCTTAACTGTCTAGTCCTGAATTCCCCTCAGGGCGCACCAAGGTAGCTGCAGTGGCTCATGGCTTGATGGCAGGCAGTATTGGTAGTTTATCAGAAAGACAGGGAACAGTTTTTTGTTCACAGAGTGCCTGCCCATAAAACACATACTGGTGAAATGATTGTTGAATGATCCTTGAGTTAGGCACACATAGAGATAAACTTCTTTTCTCAGGGACATACCATGGTGGTCCAGTGGTTAAGAGTCCACCTTGCAATGCAGGGGACAGAGGTTCGATCCCTGGTGGGGGAAGTACAATCCCACATGTCTCTCGAGCCGTGCACCTACTGAGCCCACGCACTCCAGACCCAGAGAGGCACAACTAGAGATCCCACATGACCCAGTGAAAATCTCGTGTGACTCAACAAAGATCCTGTGTGCTGCAACTAAGACCTGATAGAGCCAAATAAATACATATAGGGGGAAAAAGTCACAGTCTTGTCCAAAACGGCCAAAGTGAATCAGTCAGAGGCCTAATTTTTATTTCAATGAGTTACAGAGTGGATCAAATCATGGTATCCTGAAGCTATTCTGTTGGGTTCCTTTAGGACTCTAAAGATTCTTTTCTCTTTTAGAGTGTATATCAAGCTGACGTGCATTTTTGGTATCTTAATAGTTTATAGTTTACATGCTTTGGGATCAGCTTTTTTTAATATATATCATTTTACTTATGTATTTTTGGCTGTGCTGGGTCTTCGTTGCTGCTGGGTCTTTTCTGTAGATGTGGTGAGCAGGGCTACCCTGGTTGCAGTGCGAAGGCTTCTCATTGTGGTGACTTCTCTTGTTGCAGAGCACAGGCTCCGGTGCATGGGCTTCAGTAGTGTCAGTTCCCGGGCTCTAGAGCCCAGGCTCAATGGTTGTAGTGCATGGGCCTGGTTGTCCCAAGGCATATGGGATCTTCCCAGATCAGGGATTGAATCCTTGTCCCCTGCATTTGCAAGTGGATTCTTTACCACTGAGCTACCGGAAGACCAAGGATCAACTTTCTTCAATAATATGATAATTATAATGTAGCTTAACATTTTATGCTTCCATTTTAAAAATGAAATGTTTTAGCATTATCCAGTTTACGAATTTTTTTATTTCAACTCATGAAAACAGGGAGGATAGCAAAATATTGCTAAAATTTATTTTAGCAATAGAAATTCAAGGCCTGGGACCATTAAATAACTTCTCCATAGTCACCCACTGATTTCAGTTATTTTTGCTTCCCAAAAGTCATGTAGTAAATTACATTTTAATAGTAATTGGTACTGTGTTTATTTATTTATTTATTTATTTATTTATTTATTTATTTTTTATCACAACCATAGTGTATCTTTTTTTTTTTTTTTTTTTTTTTACATGTATTCCCCATCCCGGTCCCCCCTCCCACCTCCCTCTCCACCCAATCCCTCTGGGTCTTCCCAGTGCACCAGGCCCGAGCACTTGTCTCATGCACCCAACCTGGGCTGGTGAACTGTTTCACCCTAGATAATATACGTGTTTCAATGCTGTTCTCTTGAAACATCCCACCCTCGCCTTCTCCCAGAGTCCACAAGTCTGTTCTATACATAGGAGTCTCTTTTTCTGTTTTGCACATAGGGTTATCGTTACCATCTTTCTAAATTCCATATATATGTGTTAGTATACTGTAATGGTCTTTATCTTTCTGGCTTACTTCGCTCTGTATAATGGGCTCCAGTTTCATCCATCTCATTAGAACTGATTCAAATGAATTCTTTTTAATGGCTGAGTAATATTCCATGGTGGGTACTGTGTTTTAAAAGTTATAAGAATAGAGGTAGGTAACCTAATTTCCTGCTGCCTCTGAGAAGCAGTTATACCCAGTTTGGGGCAGCTGTCTATCTTTTTTCTCTTTTTTTTTGGCCGTACTTCAGGGCATGTGGGATCTTAGTTCTCCAACCAGGGATTGAACCTGCGCCCCTTGCATTGGAAGGACATAGTTTTAACTGCTGGACCACCAGGGAAGTCCCAAGGGGCAGCTGTCTATTAATCTTTACTACATCTCTTTTTTTTTCTTTCCTTATTAACCTAATGCTATTTTTCTGCTTCTCTTTTCCCAACTCTGTCTTAGGGCTGTCATGAGTATTCTGCATTTTTAATTTCTCTCAGTAACTCCAGAGTTTAGATGACAAAATACTGCAGCTTTATTTTTCACATGTGTTTCTGCGTTTCAGGAAATTTGATGAAGAAAAGAAAGGAATATGTAAAGGCCCATTTATCTATGAGGTATGAACAATTTATTTAGTTTTTAAACAACTCAGTCATCCTAAAATTGTTTTTTAAAGTTGAGTTTATCAAAGTTAATTTACATAGACTAAATTTCACCCTTTTAGAGTACAGTTCTACGAATTTTTACAAATGCATTTAGTCATATTACCACATCCATAATCAAGAACATTCCTATCATCTCTAAAAAATCTCATGTCTGTTTATACTCAACCCTTTCCCCTGTTCCCTGGCAACTACTGATCTGTTTTACTTCTGTTTTTTGTGTGGCCTTTTACGAATATCATATAAACAAAGCCATACTGTTTATACCTTTTCTGTCTGGCTTTTCTCAATGAGTGTAATGCATTTGTTTTCTGTTGTTTTAATTTTCTTGGCCATGCCACATGGCATGTGAGATCTTAGTTCCCCAACCAGTAACTGGACCTTCACCCCTTGCGTAGGAAGTACAGAGTTTTAATTGCTGAAGTCCTGAGTATAATGCATTTGTGATTTGACTGTGTTGTTTGTGTGTGTCAGTAGTTCATCCCTTTTTATTGTTGAGTAATAGTTCATTGTATGAATGTACTGCAGTTTGGTTATCCATTCACCATTCAGACTGGATTGTTTCTGTTTTTTAATAGTTTTGAATAAAGCTGCTATAAACGTTTGTAAATTTATTAAGCATCTAACATGCCAGGTGTTCCATAGGTAAAACTTCCCATAGAACTTAATTCTCTAAAACAGTTAACAAACTAAAATAAATTATGTCTAAAAGACTGGCTGAGGTTATCATTTATGATATCAGTGTCACAAATGATAAGGGTTAATATACATGTATATGAAATATGTGAAAAGGTCTTAAAACCAATAAAGAATAAAGATAATCATAATAGATGAATAGGTAGAGGATAAAAATAAGTATTGGAGAAGACTGTTGAGAATCCCTTGGACTGCAAGGAGATCAAACCAGTCAATCCTAAAGAAAATCAGTCCTAAATATTCATTGGAAGGATTGATGTTGAAGCTGAAACTCCAATACTTTGGCCACCTGATGCAAAGAGCCGTCTCATTGGAAAAAACCCTGATGCTAGGAAAGACTGAGGGCAGGAGGAGAAGATTGGATGGCATCACTGACTCAATGGACATGAGTTTGAACGAACTCTGGGAGATAGTGAAGGACAGGGAAGCCTGGCATGCTGCAGTCCATGGGGTTGCAAAGAGTTGGTTGGACAGAACTTAGTGACTGAACAACAGTTCAGTCCACAGCAGTATTTGATCAAGAACAAAGTAAATACGAGGCTCCCCTGGTGGTTCAGTGGTTGAAAATCTACCTGCCAATGCAGGGGTCACAGGTTTGATCCCTGATCTGGGAAGATCCTACATGCCCTGGGGCAGTTAAACCTGCAGGTCACAGCTACTGAGCCTGAGCCTCCTCGAGCCTGTGCTTTGCACTGAGGGAGGCCCACACACAGCAATGAAGACCTAGTACAGCCAGAAATAATTAAAGAGAATTTAATAGAATAACAAAGCATCTTTTGCCCTCTGTAGTTGCTATCTAAATGCTTCAATTTTCAAACTAAGAAATTAAATAGGTTCAAGTAATGAGAGATAGTTGTCAATAATAAGCATATTAGTGACTCTTCACCGTCATTAGTGATCGAATAAATGAAATTTTAAAAATAACAAGATACTATTTTTTGCTCGGTGAGATGGTAAAAAGAATGTAAATAGTGTGTTGACGTAAAATGAGAATGCAAATATGTGAATATGACATTTGAAAGGCAATTTGACAGTATCAATGTGATTTTAGATATTCATCTTAAGAAAGTAATTACAGGGGAACTTCCCTGTTGGTCCAGTGGTTAAGACTCCGAGCTTCCACTGCAGGGGGCATGGGTTCATCCCTGGTTGGAGGAGCTCCACATGCTGTGGGGTGCAGAGTAGGTAGTAATTAAAGAATATTCCTTATCAGTTGTTTTTTGTAGCATATAATTTGAAAATGCCCAAATGTTGAATAATATGGAATTAATTATGTGATGGCAGCTCCATGGTACTAGACAGCCTAAAAAAACTTAATGGCATGAAAAGAAGTTCATGATATAAAACTATTAGAATATCTATTTATTTATTAAACAAAAATCTGTTGCATTATCAAAATAATCTATTTCTGTTTGAGTAGGTTTATTTATATGTCTGGGAAAAAATTAGGCAAAATATACACCAATAAGACTAATAATAGTAGTGACTACTCTGGCTATGTGTGTCAAGAAGCCATAGTTAGAACAAGACATGGAACAACTGACTGGTTCAGAATTGGGAAAGGGGCACATCAAGACTGTATGCTGTCACCCTCCTTGTTTAACCTCTACGCAGAGTACATCATGCGAGGTGCCAGGCTGGATGAAATCACAAGCTGGAATCAAGATTGCTGGGCGAAACATCAGCAGCCTCACCTGTGCAGATGACACCACTCTAATGCCTGAAAACAAAGAGGAACTAAAGAGTTTCTTGATGAGAGTGAAGAGGAGAGTGGAAAAGTTGGCTTAAAGCTCAACATTAAAAAATCTAAGGGATTTCCCTTGTGGTCAGTGGCTAAAACTCCCTGTTCCCAATGCATGGGACCTGGGTTCAATCCCTGGTCAGGGAAGTAGATCTCATATGCCATACTAAAGATCAAAGATCCTGCATGTCACAACTAAGACCCGGCACAGCCAAAAAAAAATCTAAGATCATGTCATCCGGTCCTATCACTTCATGTTAAGTAGAAGGGGAAAAACTGGAAGCAGTGACTGATTTTATTTTGGGGGGTTACAAAATCACTGAGGACTGTGACTGTAGCCATGAAATTAAAAGATGCTTGCTACTTGGAAGGAAAGCTATGACAAACCTAGACAGGGTATTAGGAAGCAGACATGTCACTTTCCCGACCAAGGTCCACATAGTCAAAGTTACGGATTTTCCAGTAGTCATGTATGGATGTGAGAGTTGAACCACAAAGAAGACTGAGCGCCAAAAAATTGATGCTTCTGAACTGTGCTGAAGAAGACTTGGCCTGGGAGGAGATCAAACCTCAAGGAAGTCAAAGGACTTCAACCCTGAATATTCATTGGAAGGACTGTTGCTGAAGCTGAAGTTCCAGTACTTTGGCCACCTGATGTGAAGAGCTGACTCACTGGAAAAGACTAATGCTGGGAACGATTACAGGCAAAAGGAGAAGGGAGCAGCAGAGGATGGGATGGTTGGAGAGCATCATCGACCCAGTGGACATGAATTTGAGCAAACTCTGGGAGATATGGAGGACAGAGGAGCCTGGTGTGCTGCAGTCCGTGGGGTGGCAAAAAGTTGGACACAACTTAGGGACTGAACAGCAACAACTCTGGTTAGTAGAATATAGATGAGTTTTAAAAAAATCTGTTAGCTATCTGTTTTCAAACTTTTCTACAATAAGTGTTTATTGCAATTGGAATGAAGAAATATGCAATTCCTACAGAGTGGCAAAGTTCTAAATTTCACGAAACAATCAGAAAAAATACAATTTAGTAAACAGCTAATTTTATGGTTCCTAACAGTAAATCCAGTATGATAAGGGGAAGAAGATGTCAGTGTGATCTTACTCAAAAGGCCTTACAAGGCAGGGTGCTCTCTAGGTGGGCCTTGAAGCATACAGATACAAAAATATAAGAGCTAGGTTTTGTTGTTTTGACCACTCTAGGCTTGCAAGGATCTTAGTTCTCTAACCCAGGATTGAACCTACGCCCTCTGCAGTGAAAGCTTGGAGTCATAACCACTGGACTTCCAGGGAATTCCCCAGCTGGATTTTCTCAACATGAAAAACAACGTGGGCAAAGAATAAATGAAATTATATTTTTAAAACTTTAAATCTTGTTCAAATTCTCTTTTTCAGTTACTTGCATAGAACTGGCCTTTATGTGTTTAAATATTTGTACATATATATGTGTGTATCTATAACATTGCTGGACCTTAATCTGTTTTTAATAGGCTGATGTTCAAGTGCAGTTGATCAGCAAAGGCCAGCCAAACCCTTTGAAAAACATTCTACATGAAAATGAAACCATGTTTATTGTGGAAAAAGTGGTAAGTAGTGCTTGGGCTTTGTGGCTAATTCTTAACAATCAAGTTTGGTTTATGAGGGATAATCTCAAATGTACACATTTTCATGTCAGTGTATTAGAGTAGATTCTAATATCTTTTAGTAGTAAGTACAGCGCTGTCCAATACAGAGATAACGTGAACCACATATGTAGTTAAAAACGTTCTAGTAGCCTCATTGAAAAAAAAAAGATGAAATTAAATTTCATATTGTAAAAGTTACTTTTTCTTTTGTTCAGTTGTGTGAATTTTAACACACTTAGACAATCTGGTAATCACCACCATAATCAGAACACAAAACAGCTCTATCACCCCAAAAACTCCCTTGTGTTATCCCTTTAAAATCAATCCTTCTCCCTCACTGTAGCGTGGTCTTTTTAAGAGTGTCATGAATGGAATCATACAAAAGTGTGTAAACTTTTGAGTCTGGTGTCTTTCTGTATAATAATGCCTTTGAGATTCATTCATGTTGTATGTGTTTAGTGGTTCTTTTAGTTGCTGATCCACCCCTGATCCAGAGAGCTAAATAAATAAATAATATGATCATTTTTGTACAGTCTTATGTGAGCACAAGTTTTCTTTACTGTAAATAGCAAGGAATAGGATTGCTTATAGTGCTTTTTAAAAATCTAATGTTAATCATTTCAATACCTAATTAATATAAAAATCAAAATGAGATTTTAAGTTCTTTTTTTTTCATACTGCTTCTTCAAAATTTGGTATGGATTTTACACTTAAATCTCAGTTTCATCTGACCACATTTCAGGTGTTCACAAGCCACATGTGACTGGTGGATGGCCACTGTAACATACAGCATAAGTCACCATGACTCATGAATTTCTACTCTAATAATCTCTTGTTAAATCTAACAAGAGGGAACTTCTTACTTTTTTCATCACTTTGTAATTGCAGCCTTACACCTATGTGTTTGAATATAGGAACCATTCTGGTAGAGCAGTAGCAGTGGTTTTAGTTGATTGCTGATAATGCTGTCATATTACACAGCTAGTTTGGGGCCAGGACCCATTCTTTGGATTTATCGTTTCTTTAAGTAGATAGAAAAAGGATATAATAGGGGAAAGTGGACATTCCTTGAGAAGGAACGCCTCTTTCTGCTTTAGGACCTGCATGCTGTCTGGATGGGGATTGGGATGAATGAGCAGAGCGCACTCTGTTTTAAATATTACAAAAAAACTCCTTTCTGAGGAGGGGACTACTTTATTTGTTTTTTGTATTAGTGATGCTTATCTATGGTGGACAGATGCCTGGAAAATGCCTATAAGTGATTTATGTGGCTGAATTTAGGCTTTTGTTATGAGGAGAGAGAAAATGTGTGTAGAGCAAAAGCTGAAAGATGAAAATGAGTTTCTAGGGAAAGGTAAAGAGGAGCAGAGGAATTTGTGAAAATTGGTTGAGATACTAGTGAGAAAACAGCTTGGAGTCATGAGGATTTACCTGGAGTTCATTGAGGTCCTGGCATTTTTTGATGGGAAACAATTAAATGGCCTTCATTTCTGTGAAGATCAGTAGAGCTTACAGCATGAGTTTTAGTTAGATGGATAATACTGAAAAGTAAAATGGAAGGGAAAATGACATTTCTTGGATACTTCTAGGAACTATTTGGAAACCCAGGCCTAGAAGGGAATAAAATCTGGAATCTGGCAGAAGAAATACAAAGTTGAGGATACATCTAGGTCAGATAACTATTAAGTGTTCACTGCTAGAAGACCTTCGTGGACAAGAACTCGAGTTTTGCAGTCAGATTACCTAGATTCAGGGGCTTCCTTGATGGCTCAGTTGGTAAAGAATCCACCTGTAATGCAGGAGACCCTGGTTCGATTCTTGGGTCAGGAAGATCTTCTGGAGAAGGGATAGGCTACCCACTCCAGTATTCTTGGACTTCCCTTGTAGCTCAGCTGGTAAAGAATTCTCCTGCAATGTGGGAGACCTGGGTTTGATCCCTAGCTTAGGAAGATCCCCTGGAGAAGGGAAAGGCGACCCATTCCAGTATTCTGGCCTGGAGAATTCCATGGACTGTATAGTCCATGGGGGTCACAAAGAGTCAGACACGACTGAATGACTTTAACTTCGCCTAGATTCAAATGTGGGTTTTGCTGCTCAGCTGCTTATTCTATATAAGCTATTCAGCCAGCCACTAGCCCAGTTTTCAGTCCATAAAATAGGGTTATTAATAGGATCTTTCTCAGGGTTTTATGAAGAATAAAAGAAAGCTTGGAACAGTAGCTGGTACATAGTACATGCTCAGGCAATGTTATTCTGTTTAATTTTTGTTATTATTGGCAGTACTGAGCTATTTTACTACTTAAACACGTGGACATGAGAAACACAAATGAGAGCTGAGAGTCCTGAGAGGAATAGACTTAAGAAGTAAGGGCTGTGCATTAGAAAGAATGAAATAGTGCCATTCGCAACAACACGGATGGGCCGAAAGCCTGTCATACGGAGCCTGAGGCACAGCGACTCGGCCTGCACAGGCTGCAGGGTTCTGCTGGCTACTGGGGACTCGGGATATGTGTCGTCTTGAAAACTAACCAACGTTGTTGCTGTTGTTTTAATTTTGAGAATTTTATTTGAATGTCTTTCTAAAAGATAGGTTTCTTCCTTAATATAATATACCATTGACTCCTGAACAACACAGGGCTTGGGGTGCCCCACCATCTGTGTTGTTGGAAACCCTGGTATAACTTTACAGCTGGCCCTCTGTATCTGTGGCTCTACATCCACAGATTCAACCAATCACGGACTGTGTAGCACTGCAGGATTAATATTTACCATTAAAAAAATCCATATGTAAATGCACCTGCCTAGTCCAAACTTGTGTTGTTCAAGAGACAACTGTACTGGCATAGAATAGTTTAGTATATACTACTGCTAGGACAGGGAGGCCTGGCGTGCTGCATCCCATGGTGTTGCGAAGAGTCGGACACGGCTGAGCAACTGAACTGAATTACTTGTATAGTATTAGTACCAGTCTTATAGTATGCAATTAATATTATAGTATAGTGAAATTGGGAACAATATTAGAATTATAATATATTATTAGTTTCAGTATTATAGTATAGCATAGAATTAGTGTAATATAGCAAATCAATATAATCTGGAACCATATACCCTATATTTCTATAATAATGAGGTAATTAATGTCAGCTGCTATAACAAGTCCTGGAGACTTAGAAAATGAGTAGAAAGGGCTATGAACCTTCAAGTTTGGGGAATGACAAAATCAAAGAGTCTCCCATGGGTTTCCCTTGGTGTCTTGTATATCATTTTGTACATAGTGGAGCACTTCCTTTTCTGATGGCATCATATACTTACTTTATCAGTGGCAACATAGATCAATATCTTCTTATAGGACAGTGGGAATACTTCTGATGAATGGTGAGATTTATTAGTACCCCATTGGTTTCTAGCTACGACTCCTGTCATAACCCAGTCATTATGTGCTAGCATAGTGAAGAGTTGACTGTTACCCTAAGTGTTCTCTTACCTGGTTAAATAATTACATGTTTTTAAAGCCTTTAGAAAAGGAAGAACCAAGTCATGTTGAAGAGCTACCGTCTGAAGAAACTGCTATTTCTGATCTCTCTACTAGTGAAAATGTTGGGCTGCTTGCTTTACCAGTTGGGAGAGCCAGGTAAGTTTTTCTTACTGTAGGGGTGGAGGGTAGGATTTAAATTCCCCTGGTGGGCTACGGTCCATTGGGTCGCAAAAGAGTCAAACATAACTTAGCAACTAAACAACAATAAATTCTTATAAACATTGGGAAAACAACAGGTATTTAGCCCAGATCCCTCTCTTTCTCCTTCCCCCACCCCTTTGATGTATATACTTAATGCTCTAAGGGTAGTTCTAAATACTTGACTGTCCCCTGGGTAACTCAAGTGTGACTTAAGATGACTACAGTGATCTTCCTTTTCTCCATTTCCTTCTACTTTTCACTGTTGTTGCTTTCTAATCTGGTTCCTTGCCAATCTTTTTTCCTTACTCCTGCCAGAGTGATTTTATGAAAGTCTGATTGTGTTGCTTCCACGTTTAAAAAGCCTTCCGTGGTCCTTTTGCCTTGTGATAAAATCCAGATTCCTTCTGAGTGACACATAGGACACAAAGGAACCTTCAGCCTCCAGTCCAGTGCCCAGCAGAGATTTGGAAATATGCAGGGGTACTTTTTGATTGTCACGATGACTCAGGGGAACTATTGGCCTGGTCCATGGATGGTAAATGTTATGCAGTGCCTGGGGCTCTCCTGTCCAATGAGGAATTATCCCACCCACATGCTAGAAGGACCCCTGTTGGAAACCCTACTGCCTTTGTCTGCTTAGCCACCTTCACTACCCTACCCCTTCCTACTATATGACTTTCCGTCTGCCTGGTGTCCCTCAACTCCAAAACCAAAAGTATTTGCTCTCAAGGAGTCCTGGAGGATCTGGTCATATATATAATATTAGAGAATAAGGGGACTTCCCTGGTGGTCCAGAGGTTAGGACTTCGCCTTCCAGTGCAGCGGGGGTGCAGGTTCGATCCCCGGTTGGGGAGCTAAGACCCCACATCCCTAGTGGCCAAAAAGACAAAGCATAAAGCAGAAGCATTGTTGTAACAAATTCAGTAAGGACTTTAAAAATGGTCTAAATTTAAAAATCTTAAAAAAAAAAAAAAATACTGGAGAATAAGGACTATATTAGTATTCAAGGAGACTTTCCTTCATAGTGGGTTTTTTGGTTTTGTTTTGCTGTGTAGAAACTTTTAAAAATCTTTTGTAGTTAATCAGTCTTTCATGGCTTCTTGATTTTAAGTCATATTTGGCCTTTTTTTCTTTCCTCTCCCACAACTTGAGCATTTTTTTATTCGTGTTGTTTTCTCCAGCCCAGTGTTTGTTTGGATTCATCCATATGCTTATCATTTCTTTGCTCTCCATTTCTTCTTACATATTTCAGACCCTTCTGGGATTATTATATTTCTTTTCTGAAGTACAGTCCCTTAGAAATGCCTTTTCTGAACATATGTTGGTGATAAATTTAATTTTCATCTCTTTGAAAAATTTTAAGCTGTATTTTTGGGTAACTTTTAATTCTGATGCACTCTCAAATTTACAGAAAAGTTTAAAAGAACAGTACAAGAACTTCTGTGTACCCTTAACCTGGTTTCACCAGGTTAAATTTAAATTTTGCTGCCTCTGCTTTGTGATTCTGTGACTTACTCCTCCTCCCCCGCTCCTCCTCCTCTTATTCCTTTCCACACCCCCATCTATATAACACAGACACACACACACACACACTTTTGTAATGAAATATTGACAGTGTGTTGGAGACACTGTGTTCTTTTACCCTTGAATACCTCACTGTGTATTTCCTAAAACCTAGTACCTCCGCAGAACAGTCATCAAAATCTGGGAATGTAACATTGTTAAAATAATACTATCTAATTCACAGACTATATTCAAATTTTTGTGTTCAATGACTAATGACCTCAAGCATCTTTTTATGTATTTATTGACTTCTTCCTTCTCCCACCCCTAGCTTTATTGAGAAGTAATTGATATATTCTCTTATTTCTTTTGCTTAATCTCATATCCTGCTTCCACTCCTATTGACCCTGTATCCTCACCATACTGAACTCTCTGCTTGTAGTAGCTATGCTTTGTCACTTTTTGGTGTGTGGATCTTGATTTATCTGGTGTGCCCTGCTCTCACTTCTTCTCTGGGTGAAATATTCATGTATTTTGCCACTTAATTTCCAGATTTTTGTTTCTGGGACACTATGATAGTGTGATGTATATGAAGAAGCATATTTGGCCTTGGTCCACTGTTCCTGGAACCCAGCTCCTAAAAACCTTTGGCATTTCCTAGGGGTTGAGAACGGTAAAGGTGTCTTTTTCAATGCTAATGAGGTGGCTTTTGGCCCTCCCCACCCCGAGTAGATTGTGGATGGCGGCTGGTTGCCTGGGGAACCAAGCGTGTGAGTAGGGGATTGGAAGTTTGATTCCCACCCCAACCTCTGGAGGGGAGAGGGGCTAGAGTTTGTTAAGTTTAGTCACGTGGTGAGGGGTTGGGACTGAACCCCTCCCTAAGTTCAGTTGGTCACAATTGTGACTGTGTAATGAAACCTCTGTTAAAACCCAAAAGACGCGGGCTTGGAGAGCGTCTGGGTCGGGGGACATGTGGAGGCTTCGGGGAGAGCAGCTCACTAGGGGAGTGCATGGAAGCTCTGCCCCTTTGCTTGGCTTCCCTTCCGTCTGCCTGCTCTTGAGCTCTGCCTTCGTGTAATAAACTAGTGATCTGGTAAGGGGAGCATTTCTCTGAGTTCTGGGAGCAAATTAATTGAACTTAGGGAAGGCATTGTCAGAAGCTGTGATCTATAGACACATAGATGACAACTTGGACTCTTGGAACTGGCAATACAAGTTGGAGGTAAGGCAGTCTTGTAGGACTGACCTTTAACCTATGGTTGCTGATGCTGTCTTTGGGCGCATAGTGTTAGAACTGAGCTGAATTGTAGGATACCAGCTAGTGTCAGAGAATTGCTTAGTGTAAGGAAAAAACCCCACTTTGGAATTGGTACAGAATGTTAGATGGTGATCAGAAGTGGGATCAGAGTCAGCATCGTAGCTACTGTTCATGATATCTTTGGAAAAGAAAACTTTTGACTGATCAACAATCTCTAACTTATTCTTCCTACTCTTGTTTCCAAGGCAGTTAATTGGATTTTATACCATGGCTCACAATCCTAATATGACCCATTTGAAGATTAATCGGCCCGTTGCTGCTCTTCCTCCCCTTTGGGTAAGGTGTGACGGTTCAGATCCTGAAGGTATCAGCTGGCTGGGAGCTGAGCTTCTCTCAACTAGTAGCAGCGTCACAGGAGTTGTCCTGTACATGGTCACCTGCAGAGGTGAGAGCCCACTCCTCTTTGTGGGCGTGTGTGTATTTATTTATTTGTGTAATTGCTGTTTCATAGTTTTTACTAAAACTTGATGTATCTAGAGTGAAGTGCACACAATGAAGCTTGTGTTAGCCCCCACGAGTCTACTCTGGTGTGTAACCTGCAGCATGTGGGAGATATTTCAGAGACAGATTTCTAAAAGTCTAAATAGGAGTTTATGGCTGTTTTATTTAGGTTTCATTTCATTTACATGTGTGTATTTTTTGAAATTTTCATTGGAAGATAAAAAAGTCGATATAATGATAATATAATTCCAATGTCTTAAGAGGCATTTAATTATACTTTTGGTAGTAGTATTGACCTTTGTTCCACTTTCCTTGTTTTAAAAACATTTCATCTGTGGTTTAAAATTTAATTTTGATAGTTATTAGTACTGTGAATTAGATTGTAATTTTCTAACTCTAATGATGTAATTTTGAACTGTACCTGTAAAGTTTTTTTATCATGTCCTACAGTGGATAAAAATTATTCTGTAAATCTTGAAGACCTAAAAAAGTCACACAAGAAAAGACATCACTTGTCTACTGTAAGTATTTCTTTTCTTTCATATTATTTTCTTCTAACTGCTATCAATCTGCCTTCCTAGTGTAAAGGAATTTTTTCATTCCTAGTATGACTAGATATTTTTCTATAGTATCAAAATGTTTATTTTCATATCAACTAATGACTGAAAATATATGTGTTTTAGCTAATCTTTGTGATGAAAAAGAATTGTCTCGTTTTTCCATTTGGCACAGCACTTTTTCTTCTTTGGGGAAAAGAATCAGTCGTTTTGATAATGGGCCTTTGGCCTTGTGAAAGCACAGCTGATGGTCTGCTGAATGTCTCTTTACAGTTAACAGCCAGCGGCTTTGCCCGGTACGAGCTCTTTAAGTCCACTGCCTTGGATGATATAGTTGCTGCCTCACAAACCACGATCACTTTGGATATTTCCTGGAGTCCTGTGGATGAGATTCTTCAGACCCCTCCACTCTCTTCCACTGCAGCTCTGGTAGGAGCCAGCCCTCCTTTCTGTTGAGCTCACTCAGTGTGGGTTAACTCTGAACTTGCTAGTTCCTGGACAGCTCTGAAAGGTTCAGCCTGAAGTCCCACCAGTACAGCCAGGGAAGGTTGTGCCGGGTGATCTGATCCATCAGTTATCTACAGTGCTGTAATTATGTAATTACGTAACTTTAGACTTTTCAGTGGGGACCCAAATGGAATCATCGCAGTGACTTATAATCCCTGCTGTTCTTAAAAGAATGCAGATATTGGGAACACATCAAGAATCATTGTTCTGTTCAGCCCTTTCACCCTATATTTACATTTCTAGGATCTGTCTTAAGAAATTAATCAGAATTGGTAACAAAAATATATGGGCAAAGATACTCAGTGCAGTCATACAGCTGTGTTTTGAAAATATTAAAAATAAAACCTGAATGATCAGTAGAAAAATAGATTTCCTGGTGAAATAGTATATACATATTTTAAAATTATGATTTAAAATATCTTTAATAATGAAAAAAAATGCTTCTTATTAAGCAAAAAATAAAAGCCCCAAAAGTACAAAATTTATGTACAGTGGGATCTCAACTATGGTTTTAAAAAATATGTACACAAAGTCCTGGGTAGTGTTATGAGTGGTTTTCCCAGGGTGGTGGGCTGGTGAATAATTATATAATTCTATTCTTGATGCTTTTCTTTTCCTGCAGTAGGTACTGGCATAAAATGGCATTTACTATTTTCTTTCAAAGCTCCTCACCCCCTTCACCTTTTTTTTGTTTGTTTGTTTTATTGAGGGGAGGGAGAGTATTGTTTTTGATGTGTGGTAATGCTAAGTTTGTCATTGAGTCTTTTTTTTTTTTTAATGAAATCTATTTTTAATTGGAGGATAATTGCTTTACAATATTGTATTGGTTTCTGCCATATATCAACATGAATCAGCCACAGGTATACATATGTCCCCCAGCTCTTGAAGCTCCCTCTCACCTCCTACCCTGTCATCGAGTCTTGAAGTGTGTTTATATTTCTACTCCTTGTCCTTTTGAAAATTCAGTGACACAAAGCAGGAGAGTGTGTGTTCTGTGTAGCTACAGTTGTATTGAGAGGGGTTGTGGTGGCCCGAATTGAGGTTTCTGTATTGGGATGGGCAGAGTCTATATTTCTGGGGAAGGTATACCAAATGAAGTGTTGACCTAATTTTTCAATTCACTAGTGTTTTATGAAGTATTTTTAAATGTGTGGGTAGTTTGAAATGCAAGTAACTGTGACCCTGATGGAGAAAAGATGGGATTACCAGTGAAAACTGACTCTGGGAACTTTTTAGAATATCAAGGTGGAATCGGGAGAGCCGAGAGGTCCTCTGAGTCAGCTTCACAGAGAACTGAAATTTCTCCTTGTGAGTATCCTTCTGGAATTTGTTACTTGCATTAGATCTCATATTTCCTTAAAAATCTTTGCTAGTATCACTGTTATTTAATTTTGTGTTCTTCAAAAATTTGTTCCAAATGTTAGATGCTTGGCAGTTGGGGCAGTTGTCCTTGCAATTAAAGGGAACATTTATCAGTGAGTTAGTAGTTAATAATAGTTCTTTCACCTTTTCTACTGAAGTATTTGGATTTTATTCATATGATGGATTCCCTTCTTTCCAGGTGAGTCAGCTGCCAGTTTATTCCAAATGTGTATATAATCTGCTTGTTAATAACTGGAATTTGATCCTGAAGATTAATGAGCATGTGTTTCAGTAATTTTAGCTCTACTCTACAGGTTCAATCCCAAAGGGGCGGGCAAGGGGGGCTCATTTTAATGCAGAAGGAATTCCGTATGTCTTAAATTGGCATACAAAGACAGTTATATCCAGTCACTGACTACTTAGTTACTTTTTTCTTTTCTTTTTTTAAGAGCTTTATTGATATAAATTATATCCCATAAAATACATTCATTTTAAGTATAGAATTCAGTAGTTTTTAGTGTACTGACAGAGTTTGTACAGACATGACCATGTTTAATTTTAGCATATTTTCATCACCCCAAAAAGAAATCCTATACTCATGAACAGAAACCTGCCAGCCATTAATTTACCTTCTGTAGTACTTCTTTCCTTTTTATTACTGAGTAACACCAGTGTATAGGTATAGTATGTTTGTGTTTATCCATTCGTCAGTTGATGGGTATTTTAGTTGTTCTTTTTGGCTATCCATGAATAACGCTGCCATGAATAGTATATAAGTTTTTATGTGACATATAAACTCTTAGGTGGAGTTGCTGGGTCATATGGTAGCTCTTTAACTACCTTTTAACTTCTTGTGTTTAACTTTTTGAGGAACTGCCAAACTGAGTGGCTGCATCATTTTACACTCCCGTAGCAGTGTATGAGGATTCCAGTTTCTCCATATCCTTGCCTCCATATGCTTGACACTATCTTTTTTATTGATGTTGCAGCCATCCTAGTGGGGATGAAGATATCTCATTATGGTGTTTTCTTGTGTTTTGGCTGCGTTGTGAGGCATTTAGGAGCTTAGTTCCCTGACCAAGGGTCAAACCCACACCCTTTGCAGTGTAAGTGCAGTCTTAACCACTGGACCGCCTGGAAAGTCCCACATTATAGTTTTGATTTGCATTTCTCTGATGGCTAATGACATTCAACACATTTTCATGTTCTTATTGGCTCCTACTTATTTCTTTAGCTTGATCTCACACCCTACTCTGCTGCATTGAGCTCCCTGCTTATGGTAGCTCCAATCCCATCACGCCATCACTTTCTGGCATATGTGTGTGTGTCTTGATCTGCCCAGTGTGCCCTTTTCCCACCTCTCTGCTGGGTTATCTGTGACATCTTCACCTGAGACGATTTACCGATTCCCCAGAATAGGTTGTGCTGCCATAGAACTTTACACACCGCTTGTCAGAGGGTTTATCAAACAGTAATTTCTTTGCTCCTCTGACTTCCCTACTGGACTTCAGTGCCAGGTGCCTCACAGTGCCTTCAACTTCTACCACAGTGCCAGGCATTTTCCTACTTTTACCTCCTCTCATTGTTTCCCTGTTTGTGAAAAACTTGATACCTTTTCTACCTTTCTCATCTTCTTCCTTGAGAGCTCCTCTTTCAGGACCCTTCCAGTGGCCTTCTGTCATACTTCTAACCTCCTATCTCTGCCCTCCCCTCCCGACCCCAGCAGAGGGCTTATCCATTTAGTGATTTGATGAATGCCTTTATAAGGGAACTCCAGACTCTTGTCTTTAAGCTGCTACCACTTCCGATCTTTCCCACTTTCATCAGTTCAGTTCCCACTCCAGTAGAGGGTTCTTCCCTCCAATTCAGTTTGTCCAAAATGAAACTTGAATCAAATCTCCAGACTGGATCACCTTAATAAGCCCCTGATTTCTGTCTGCAGTTGTTCACAGTCTAGAAACCTTATCTTTTACTTCAGTAAGGTCTAGTCACTGCCGCAGCTAGAAGCTGCCATTCTACTGTGTGCCCAGTATGTGGTGCTAGATGGTTCTGTTATGTTGCCTGAGGTGTCTGCAACTGGTGAATGGAAGAGCTGGTTTAAAACTCATTCAAATATATGTCTATCTGACTTGAAAGTCCAATCTGTGTTATTAATGTAATCTCCCTTAGAAATTCACAGACTCTTCGATGTGCACGTCACCATTGTTTCTCCAAGTTCAATCCCCTGTATTTTTATAAATAGGCAGGATTTTTTTTTTTCCATTCCTCATATATTTCTGCCTATCTGTCTGTCTCTTTCTCTGGAGTATACTTTTTTTTTCCCCTTTGAGGTTTCTTTCACTGTTCCCATCTTAGATAAAGCCCTTCTAGATAAAGCCCTTCTGGACCACTCTAATGATCTCACTGTTTCTCCACAGGGACACACACTCTTGGCATCTTGGGCAGAATCCTGCTTTGTGGTTTAGGACCATTCTACACATTGGAAGATATGTAGCCTCCTTGCATGCATGCCAGGTTGCTTCAGTTGTGTCTGACTCTTTGCGACCCTATGGAACATAGCCCGCCAGGCTCCTCTGTCCACAGGATTCTCTGGGCAAGAATACAGGAGTGGGTTGCCATGCCATCCTCTAGGATATCTTCCCAACCCAGGTATCAAACAGGAGTCTCCTTTGTCTCCTGTTTTAGCAGGCGGGTTCTTAACCACTAGCACCACCTGTAGCATCCTTGGCCCCTACCAAACTAAATCCCCACAGTCATTGTGACACCAGAATTTATCTTCACATTTTTCCAAAGACTCCCTGGAGGTGGAGGATGATCTTACTTCTATTGAGAAACATCGTACTTCTTTTTTTCCTTAAACTCTGTTCTGAGTATTTGTGATGGGGGAATTCTCAGCTGCTTGATCATGTCATTTTCCTGCCAGAAAATCAACAGTGGCTGTTGTCTTCCAAATGAAATATTCTTTAAGATCATTCTTCCTGTTTATCCCCACTCCTAGTCATCTTATTTCCTGCTATTGCCTGGTTGTTTACTCCACCCTGGTAGAAACATCTCACCCTCTTCATCTTACCCCTGCTCTTTGCCTGGGATGGTTCCCCCACATGAGTCAAGCCAGTGTTTCCCATCATTCCTCTGGCTATTCCAGCCTATCTTGACCTCGACCTCTTGCCTTACTTCAGTTTAGATACTCTACATATAGGCATACATATTCATGTTATTTTTATGTAAACTTCCATTCAGTCTCTGTAGCACACATAATTAAAGTTCAGAATACCATCTTTAGCATCAGACTGCTAGATATATGTCCTGGCATTGTCAGTTACGAACTCTGTCACCTTAAGCAAGTTGATTAGCCTCTTTTGGTCTCAATAAAATGTGAGCGATAGTAGTATCTGCCTCACTGGATTTTTGTGAGGATTAAATAACATACTGCATATGAAATATTTAACATAGTTCCTGGCGTCTCATTAAACATTCAAGAAAAATAGGTATTAGGAATGCCTTGGAGGTCCAGTGGTTAGGACTCCATGCTCTTACTGCTGAGGGCCTGGGTTTGATTCTTGATGTGGGAACTAAAATCCCTCAAGGTGGGTGGTGCAGCCAAGGAAAAAGATGCTAATATTATTACTATTGATAAATACATCTTACTGATAAATTTTTATTTTGCTAATAAGTTTTGAGGGTTTTTTTGTTTGTTTTTAAATCTCTCACAGGTTTTGGCTGATGGTTTGAGGACTGGTGTAACTGAATGGCCGGAGTCTCTGGAAGCAAAGTCTGCTGTTGAACTTGTGCAGGAATTTCTGAATGGTGTTTGTTTTCCTGACTCACTCTTGGCTTTTGTTTACTTTTCCTAATTAGGAATTTATGCTTGCTATATTTAAATGTAAATTGTTTTTACATTTAGGCTTACATTTTACATTTTAGGCTTAGTATTTTTTTTGGTAGATATATCTAAAGCTGTAGGCCTGTCATAGTGAGAGGGACAGCTTTCATTCTGAAAATTGCTAATGATAAAAATCTCAGTGAGTTTAAGAATTAATAATGCGTATTTAACTTACATTTTATATACTGCAATCATATTTGAGATTGTGGAAGAAAAGGGATGGAACAGTAACCTTAGAGCACCTACCATGTGTTTGACATTGTATGTCAGGGGCTTTCACTGTATCTCAGTCCATCCTCACATCCCTACCTAGTGGGTAGCTATTCATCCTCCATTGGAGAGTTAAATAATTGCCAAAATACCTGGTTATTGTTCTGCTCTCCTCATTTGCCATTTGAAAACAGGATTAGAATGGAAATAATTTGGAAAGAAGGAGAATAAAATCCAGAGTTTAATAAGATTTTGCTACTCTCTAGAGTTAAATAACCTGAATGAATTTGGTGATTCTACAAAAAAAGACACCGAGGTAAGTGATTGTTATCAGAAAAGTACACTGAAAGAGCTTGTAAAATTGGGTTGTACTGTTGTCTTTCACATCATACAATCTCAAATGGGTCTGCTACAGCCACGGTAGCATTTTGAGGGTAGTTTTTTGTTGGTCTTTGATGTCAGCACTAGTGATTACTTTCCTTAAAGACTGATGGATATATTTAAAGAGGACTAGATTACTATGCTGTAGGTGGTATTATTAAATTGTGCTAAACCTGTTGTCATTTGACAAGTGGGAAAATGGAGACCAAGGTAATTAAATATTTTTCCAGGGGAGGAAAGTCAAATGCTTCCTTTTAGGCATCAGAGTTTGAAAGCAATTTTAGGGGATCTGTTTTTCACTGTCTATTTACTTGTATCTCCTCATTAGTGGATGAAGTTGTAGAAGATGCATTCATGCCTCTTTTTATATGTGTTCATGATCCCACCTTTTCTCAGAGTAGCATTTGAAAGTTTACTGGTCTTAAACTATTGTGCTTTTTAAAAAATAAACTGAGTATATTTTTTGGCACTCACTTCTTTTCCAGATAGTGAAGAATGACGCTGCTGCAGTTGATGGGTCTATTGAGTGTCTTCTTACAGTGCGGGGTGATCTCGATTTTGCTGAGCAGCTGTGGTGCAAAATGAGCAGTAGTAGGTGTCCATCAGCATCGTGAAATAAAATTTTTCCTGTTATTTTTTAGGTTTACTTTTAAGTCTTTTGAAAATAATAATGTGTATTGCTAGCCTTGTATGGACATCTGGTTTCTGTTTTATCAAACTCAGTTCTAATAATGCATTGGCATATTTTGCTTGAGAATTGTACTAAGACCAGGCAATTCATAGAATCTGTTCTTTTCTCCTGCCTGAAGATTTAGGTGGGTTCTATGTTGTATTTCTATTAACTAAAACATATCTCAGTGAAATTATAATTATTAGGAAAAGGAAAAGATACTCCATAATATTTGACGGAATATATTATTTTATGGCAATGAGTTTAATTTCTTTCTTTAAAAATGCTCCCTTTGGAGGCGGGGAGTGGGGGTGGGGGGCTTTAATTTCTCTCCCTTTTCACCATCCATAAAGTTCAGATACTTGTCTTCCCTCTTCATTTGCGTATCCTTAAAACGAATGACATGTTTGATCTGCAGAAATAACCATGAGAATAATGTTAGACTGACTTGCTTTCCGAGGTGTGATTTCTTATCAAGACTTGGTGAAGTGTTTCACATTGGTCATCCAGAGTCTACAGCACGGTGATATACAGCCATGGGTAGGTTTAGTAGTGTATGTGTGCGCTCCTTTTCTCAGCAGCAGAGCAGACTGATGAAGGGCACAAGCTCTGGAGCAGACTGCCTGAGTTTGAATTCTAGTTTTGCAACTTTCTACCTGTATAAACTTGGCCAGGGTCCTTAATTCATGTGAAGCAGTTAGGACCTAGTTCATAGTTAAGGGCACAGTATTTGTAAGCTACCTGTTTTATCATTACTGTTGCTGTGAACAGTCCTTCTCATATACTACTGATGAGAAGTACAGATTGGAACACTCTAAAGCAAAGACTGCAGCCATAAAATTAAAAGACGCTTACTCCTTGGAAGGAAAGTTATGACCAACCTAGATAGCATATTAAAAAGCAGAGACATTACTTTGCCAACAAAGGCCTGTCTAGTCAAGGCTATGGTTTTTCCAGTGGTCATGTATGGATGTGAAAGTTGGACTGTGAAGAAAGCTGAGTGCTGAAAAATTGATGCTTTTGAACTGTGGTGTTGGAGAAGACTCTTGAGAGTCCCTTGGACTGCAAGGAGATCCAACCAGTCCATCCTCAAGGAGATCAGTCCTGGGTGTTCATTGGAAGGACTGATGCTGAAGCTGAAACTCCAATAATTTGGCCACCTCATGCGAAGAGTTGACTCATTGGAAAAGACCCTGATGCCAGGAGGGATTGGAGGCAGGAAGAGGAGGGGACGACAGAGGGTGAGATGGCTGGATGGCATCACCGACTCGATGGGCATGAGTTTGAGTCAACTCTGGGAGTTGGTGATGGACAGGGAGGCCTGGCGTGCTGCAATTCATGGGATCGCAAAGAGTCGGACACGACTGAGCAACTGAACTGAACTGAACTGAAAGCATTATGATAATGTATTGAGGTCCTCAAAATGAATCCATCCTAAGGCCATATGCAGAACTATGTGTCAAGAATCTATGTATTGGGGGCTTTCCTGGTTTCAGAAGATCCCACATACAGTGGAGCCAACTAAGCCTGCGAGCTGCAACTGCTGAAGCCCATGAGCCCAGAGCCTGTACTGTGCAACAAGAGAAGCCACTGCAGTGGCACCATGATGAAGAGCAGCTAGAGAGAGCCCATGTGCACCAGTGAAGACTCACCATGGCCAAAAGAAATAATTTTATCAGGATGGTCATTACAGCCTCATTTACAGTAGCAAAAATTGTAAATGACCTGACTGTTAATGGATGCCTAAGTAAATCATGCAGACAACACCACCCTTATGGCAGAAAGTGAAGAGGAACTATAAGAGCCTCTTGATGAAAGTGAAGGAGGAGAGTGAAAAAGTTGGCTTAAAGCTCAACATTCAGAAAACTAAGATCATGGCATCTGGTCCCATCACTTCATGGCAAATAGATGGGGGAACAGTGGAAACAGTGTCAGACTTTATTTTTGGGGGCTTCAAAATCACTGCAGTTGGTGATTGCAGCTATGAAATTAAAAGACACTTACTCCTTGGAAGGAAAGTTATGACCAACCTAGATAGCATATTTAAAAGCAGAGACATTACTTTGCCAACAAAGGTCTGACTAGTCAAGGCTATGGTTTTTCCAGTGGTCCTGTATGAATGTGAGAGTTGGGCGGTGAAGAAAGCTGAGCGCCGAAGAATTGATGCTTTTGAACTGTGGTGTTGGAGAAGACTCTTGAGAGTCCCTTGGACTGCAAGGAGATCCAACCAGTCCATCCTGAAGGAGATCAGTCCTGGGTGTTCATTGGAAGGACTGATGTTGAAGCTGAAACTCCAATAATTTGGCCACCTCATGCGAAGAGCTGACTCATTGGAAAAGACCCTAATGCTGGGAAGGATTGGGGGCAGGAGAAGAGGACGACAGAGGGTGAGATGGCTGGATGGCATCACCGACTCGATGGACATGGGTTTGGGTAGACTCCGGGAGTTGGTGATGGACAGAGAGGCCTGGCGTGCTACAATTCATGGGGTCGCAAAGACTCGGACACGACTGAGTTGACTGAACTGAACTGAACTGAAGTAAATCATGAAACAGCTACATAATGGAACATGTTAATAGTTGCTACAGATGATGTGCAGAAATGCTTACAGTGGTGTGTGGAGAAATGCTTACAATGTTCAGTAAAAAGACATTACAGACTATTGTATGAAAGATAGAAATTTTGGAGAGAAAAACCTGTGAGCAAATACACTAAAATATGCCAGTCCCTTCTGGTGGTGGGGTTACAAATGTTTCTCCAACTGCATTATACATTTCTGTATTTTATGGGTTTTTCCATAATGGATTTGTAGTTTTATAATGAAGAAAAAAATCTAAGTTAAAAACTAGAAACAAAATGATTCTTCGTTTAGCAAGAATTATTTTAAATAATGCAACTGCCAATTCATAACAAGATAGAAACTTTCCTAGGTGTGAACAGAGATACACTCTAGAGCAGAAGCTTGCAAACCCTCCCTCTATTTGATCATTCTGTGCATTTTAGTCTTGCCCATTGAATTTTTCTTAAGAGTTTCTGTGTGAGATATTTACAAGTATATCCTACCATGTGCAACAAGTGCAAAGTGAAAGTAGTATTAAAAAAGAAAGATGCAAAGGATTGTGTTGGAAATTAAGAGTTAAGAGAAGGACAGTAAATAAGAAAATGTCAAATGTCAAATATTTTAGGTATGTTTAATTGTTTAGCAATTGGAACACATGTTAGATCTAGTAAGTTCATAGCTCTTTTTATTCTCCAAATGATTGAGTTAGTCTGTTGGCTATTATAGACAATAAGGAGGTTTTGGGAATGGCATTTTAGAAACTGATAGGTTTGTAACTTAGAGGCTTTCATTCAAATAATTTATAATGTCAGGAGATGAAATATGTAAGTTTATAATTTTTTAGTTTTTAGTTAATGCAGTTTGCTTCTCTTTCACTTACTGAACTTTTTATATTTTTAATTGTGGCTTTATAAACTTTCCCAATTTCTAGCTTCATAGTGGGAGTCGCAGCTTACTGAGTAAGCTTATTCATCAGTCTTACCATGGAGCCATGGACACGGTTTCTCTCAGTGGGACTGTTCCAGTTCAGATGCTTTTGGAAATTGGCTTGGATAAACTGAAGAAAGATTATATCTGTTTTTTCATAGGTAAGTCCCTTTCCCAACTCAAAAAATTAAAAGCAACATCATAGTTGTCAGCCATAGGTATGCTCAGATTTTATCTCTGTACTTGTCCCTGATTATTTGTAGTCCTGGCTTTGTCTCTGGTTCACTATGAGACAGGCACTTTCATTTTCTGAGCCGTATTTTTTGGTTTGATAAAGATATTACATTAAAGATAACTACAGGTTTTGTCTTTATTTCAAATGTTTTGAGATTCTTTAGGGTTAAAGTAGTAAATAAAACCCTTTTTTAAAATGACATGCTGTTTTAATACTCATCACCTTGTTTCTATTAGGGGCAAACTGTGATCATTTTTAGAATAAGTATTAATTTATATTTATGGTGTAATGTACAAGAAAATTTGGCATTTTATGAGAAACTGTTTAGCTTGAGCATTTCTTATTAACTATGAAATGTTTTTCTTAGCTTGTTTGATTTGTAGTAGATAAAACCTAAAGCTTATTGGCATCTCTTCATTTTTTCTTGATAGGTCAGGAACTTGCATCTTTGAATCATTTGGTGAGTTTTTATTTTCAGGTTGATTTTTCTTTTATTTGGTCATTCTGCCGTACAGTTACTAAGTGCCTGTTCTGTACCAGCTTATGTCCTAGGAAGCAGATAAATTAAGACAGGCAGTTAATTACACTGTCTAGTAAAACAAACAAAAAAGTCACTTCTCATTCTCTGTAAACGTATGATACTGACATGAGGTTATATCCTGCTTAAGCCAGTCAGTGTACTTCCACAATTCTTCATTTATCTAAAATGGTTAGAGAATGTCTTTCTATGTTTGATAAGCCCTACAAAGGAATATTTGCTTTATATTCCTTTGACCCATTTCTTTATTTCTTTCTTTATTTTTATTTTTGTATTTATTTGGTTGGGCCTGGTCTTGGTTGCGGCATGTGGGCTCTAGTTCACTGAGCAGGGATCGAACCCAGGCCCCCTGCATTGGAAGTGTGGAGTCCGAGCCCCTGGGCCACCAGAGAAGTATCTTGACCCGTGTCTTTGACACATAAAGGATTGCTTTCCAAAGAATTTGCTATGCTTTTTAGCATACTGATTCAAAAACTATTTCTGGGTTTCAGGGTCATGATTATGAGCTTTTGTATTTCCTTGATATCTTGAATTAGAAAGTTAAGGAGATCAAAGAGCATCCCTAATGACCTTTGACATTTGTTGGAAGATTCTTTTAGAAAATAGATCTTCAAATGACATCTGGTCTCATGAAAATACAAGATAGGATAACTCCAGCTTCATCTATTATGTAATGTAACACTCAACTGGATTCTATTGAGGTTAATTTTGATATTCCAAGTTTAAACATTTTATTAAAGATATACATTTTTAGTGGAAACTTTTTTATACATTTTTTAAGCTTAGAAAAGTAATAACTTTTTGAAAATAAAAAAATATTTTTATACCCTTAATCTCATCACTGAAATGTGAGTACCCTTATTTTTATGAATTCCCCTAACGTCATTTAATATGGCCTGTTTTTTCAAATATGGTTTGACTTCAGACTTTTAACACAATAGTTCTTAGACTTTGAGAATCTCCTAGAAGACTTGATAAAATGCTGATTCCTAGACCCCTGACTCGGTAGGTCGAGGACTCTGGAATATGTGGGGTTTTTTTTGCGGGGGGGGTTGCTGTACCACATGGCTTGTGGCTCATTTCTTTGACAGGAATTGAACCCTGGCCATGGCAGTGAAAGCCCAGAATCCTAACCACTAGGCCACCAGGGAACTCCCTGGAATATATATATATATATATATATTTTTAAACAAACCGTCTCCATCTCCAGATGATTCTGATGCCAGTGGTTTGCAGCAATATTAGTTTTCTATTGCTGCCATAACAAATTATCCCCACACACTTAGTGTCTTAAAGCAACACACACAAATGCATTACTTTATAGTTCTATAGTTCAGAAGTCCAGTCTGGGTCTCACTAGGCTAAAATCAGGGAGTTGGCAGGCTGCGTTCCTGTCTGGAGTCTGCCTATAGGGGAAGATCCATTTCCTGCTCATGTGAGTTATTATTAATAGCAGAATTCAATTCCTTGTGATTATAGACCTGAGGCTGTACTGCCTCCAAGTATTCAGGAACTTCAGGCTTTATCACCTCTGTGCGGGGTCTTGGGGACAGGCAGAGGTAGACCGGCCTGGGTTGTAGCATGAGCAGAGAGAATCAAACCAGAAGGACAGTCTGGATCTGTTCTTTGTTTAAAAAAAAAAAGACCTGTGTGGTCCACTTCCAGAGTGGTCAGGGGAACACTGGGAATGTGGGTGGCAGCTGCAAGGAATGTCGTAATTTGTAGCCAGTGGTGAGTGGAACTGTTTTGGGTCCTCCCTTCCTGGGACCATGACTGTTTTCCTGCTTGTGTTGTTTTCACATTTTGGAATAACCTGGGTCAGCATTTTAGCTGGGTCCTCTGCTCAGGTTTCACAAGGCTAAAATCAAGGTATCATCTGGAGACTTGTTTAGGGAAAGATCCACTTTCAAATTCCCTCGCATTGTTGACAGAATTCATTGACTTGTGACCTTTGATGAAGGTTCCCATTTTCCTGCTAGCTGTTGGCCCAGGACCATCTCCATGTCCTCGAGGTGACTTGGGGGTTCTTCCATGTGGCCCTCTCTGCAATGCGACAGTTTGTTTCTGCAAAGCCAGCAGGAGAGCATCTCTGGTGCTTAGAGCTCACTGATCAGCTCACAAGTAATGACCAGGAGATCATCTCCCTTTTGGTTAATTCAAAATTAATCTGTAACCTAGTCATGGGAGTAATAGCCTACCATATTAACATATCTTGGCCTCACTTGAGGAGAAGGGGTTATATAAGATGTATATTCCAGGGAGTGAGAATCTTAGAATTGTAGAATTCCACTTACCAGGGATCATTTCCTTAAGATTTATTCTCAGAAATAGGTCTGAGCGTTTTATGAAGCTTGACATAACCTTGCCAACTTTCTTTTCCAAAAGGTCATACCAATTTACCAGTAATATATGTTAGTAGAAGCTTACCAATGCACTTGCTTTATTTCTTGGTACTTCAGGTTTACTATCTGTTTTTAGAGGTGAGTATGCCCATCAACCTGGCAAGCTTACTGAAGTTAAGAATTATCTTGTGGGTTTGCCGTTCTTTCCATCTGGAGAGTTTGGTGGGTGGTACTAGCTACCTACTTGGACCTCCTCAGTGAAGCAGTTCTGTGATTTGCCTTTACCAGGGAGTATGCATAATGGTTTGCTTAGAACATTCTCAGTGAAGACTTATTTAAGTTTAGTTTAAGGAATAGCATTGAGAGGAGGAAGGCTACCTCGTGGCCTCTTCTCCCTAACCCCAAGCCCGCACCTGTTAATCAAACATCCCCACTCAGGTGTCGTAGGCATAGTTAATTCTTTCCAGAGATGCTGCTTGTTCTTTAACTCTTTATTTCTCATGTCCATTTTTTTCTAATTCCAGGAATATTTCATTTCTCCATCAGTAGATACACAGGAACAGGTTCATCGTGTTCAAAAACTCCACCATATTCTTGAAATAGTAGTCAGTTGCATGCTTTTCATTAAACCTCAACATGAACTCCTCTTTTCTTTAACACAGTAAGTATTTCTGTTGTTTACTTCATAAAAATGTACTCTCTTCTGAAATAGTTGAAGCCAAAATAAGTGCCCTTTTTATTGTCAGTTAGGATAGAATCTGTGCGCCTTGTCTTCATAGTAACAAAAAGGTTCTAAGTCACTGCCGTGAGAAGGAAAGACTTTGGATTCAGGAGGAACTGAGCTGGACACTTGGATCTGGCACTTCCTTTCTAAGGAAGTTTCCTTTCACTGCATCTTGTTTTTCATCTATAAAAACTCTGTAATATATATGAAGTACTTGACACTTAGGTGCTTAATAAATACTAGTTCCTTCTCTTTTCTTCATATCCCTATAAATTTGAGTCAAGCTAATCATTGCCAACCATCTATATGGTGACTGAATCAAATCAGATTTTATGAGACCTGTGTCAATAGTGTTGCTGAAATTTTAGAGGGTCTGTCTGTTGGTCTAAAAATAGTTTGGAATAATCTTTACACATGGATACTGGATGTCTTATTTGTATTTTTTGAGGCTTCAAACTGGAAATAAGCGTACCATTGAGTGGAAGAACTAGGTTTCTTTTTCCCTGTGAAAGAAAATGTACCATTGCCTTTTCCAGAATTAGAATTTGCCTTCCTTGTAAAGGGAAAAGTTTGAAATTGTTACTAGGTTTTTTTGTTTGTTTTGGGGGTGTTTCTTCCCATTAAAGATAAGTAGTATGGGTGAGTTAACTCTTTGATTCCCCATACCGGGAAAGCATTGGAGGCTGTAGCTTTGTCTCTTTTTTGCCTTTCTGTCTTTGTCTTTCCGATAACTTTCTCCCCACTTACACCTTTACTTGAGCTCAACTAAAATGTATTTTATATTTATGAGCAGTATGCCCACTGTTTATTTTTTTAAAAGTGAATTTTTTTTTCTCTTTAGATCCTGCATAAAATATTATGAACAAAATCCTCTTGATGAGCAGCACATTTTTCAGCTGCCAGTCAGACCAACTGCTGTTAAAGACTTATATCAAAAGTAAGCAATTAAAAGTAACCATTAAATCATACTTCACCAGCCATGATTCCAGTTTCAGTATCTGTTCCATGGCACCTCATGACCCAGGCCTGCTTCTTCTCTGAAACCAGAATCATCTGATTCCCATTCTCTGAACATAGTCTGATAGAGTCCTCCCTCTCCCTTCTCCTGGGCCTTTGATCTGCTGTCTGTAGACTGTTGGTCCACTATGTCTATGTTCATTTGTCTTTGAATTTGTAATTTCTTCACAGAATAGGGCAGAAACTTTAGCCAGAAAGGAAGTGACAGATTGGGAAGAAAGTGATCAGGTGATGACAAGCTTTAGAAAAGGTAGAGGAACCAGAGATCAAATTGACAACATCCATTGGATCATCGAAAAAGCAAGAGAGTTCCAGAAAAACATCTACATCTGCTTTATTGACTACATCAAAGTCGTTGACTGTGTGGATCACAGCAAACTGTGGGAAATTCTGAAAGAAATGGGAATACCAGACAAGCTGACCTGCCTCTTGAGAAATCTGTATGCAGGTCAAGAAGCAACAGTTAGAAGTGGACATGGAACAACAGACTGGTTCCAAATAGGAAAAGGAGTACATCAAGGCTGTATATTGTCACCCTGCTTATTTAACTTATATGCAGGGTACATCATGAGAAATGCCAGGCTGAGATTGCAGGGAGAAATATTAATAACCTCACATATGCAGATGACACCATCCTTATGTCAGAAAGTGAAGAACTAAAGAGCCTTTTGATGAAAGTGAAAGAGGAGAGTGAAAAAGTTGGCTCAAAACTCAACATTCAGAAAACTAAGATCATGGCATCCACTCCCATCACTTCATGGCAAATAGATGGGGAAACAGTGGAAATAGAGATTTTTGGGGTGGGGGCTCCAAAATCACTATAGTTGGTGACTACAGCCATGAAATTAAAAGACACTTGCTCCTTGGAAGAAAAGCTATGACCAACCTAGACAGTTTATTAAGAAGCAGGGACATTACTTTGCCAACAAAGGTCCATCTAGTCAAAGCTATGGTTTTTCCAGGAGTCATGTATGGATATGAGAGTTGGACTATAAAGAAAGCTGAGCACCGAAGAATTGATGCTTTTGAACTGTGGTGTTGGAGAAGACTCTTGAGAGTCTCTTGGACTGCAAGGAGATCCAACCAGTCCATCCTAAAGGAAATCAGTCCTGAATATTCATTGGAAGGACTGATGCTGAAGCTGAAACTCCAATACTTTGGCCACTTGATGTGAAAAACTGACTCATTGGAAAAGACCCTAATGCTGAGAAAGATTGAAGGCGGGAGAAGGGGATGACAGAGGATGAGATGGTTGGATGGCATCTCTGACTTGATGGACATGAGTTTGAGTAAACTCCAGGAGTTGGTGATGGACAGGGAAGCCTGGCATGCTGCAGTCCATGGGGTCACAAAGAGTCGGACACAACTGAGCGACTGAACTGCACTGATGACAAGTCAAAGGCGTGGCTGTGGGAGTGAGGGAAGGACTTGGTGTTGGGGATTTTGGAGGGATGGAACTGAGGCTGACTGGCCATCCATGCAGACACTGAGGTTGCCTCAAATCATGGTCTTCCTGACTCTTCTCTCAGCGTACAGTAGACCTGAAATTTCTTTCATACTAAAACTGCTCTCTTTATACCCTTCCTCTGTATAGTTCCCTCTTAGCCAAACCTCATCTCTTCCCTGAAATTTTTAATCAGAAGTTGCCAGTGGCCTTCTAATTGGCAAATCCAGACAATACTTTCCAGGAGAAGAGTGTTTTTGTCCCCTTGGGTAACTAGCTGGCCCACCAGTTCTTTCTCCTTCCATAAGCATTTGTAATGCTCTGTGGCATTTGACACTACTGCTTTCTTGAACCATCCCCTTCCTTTGTTTTCTTGACATCACATTCTGTCTTAATTTTTTCGATTTCTTTATTTTTGGTTGCCCTGGGTCCTTGTTACTATGGTTGGACTTCCTCTGGTTGCAGTGAGCGGGGGCTACTCTTTGTTGTGGTACGCAGGCTTCTCATTGCTGTGGCCACTCTCATTGCGGAGCACAGGCTCTAGGTCGCTCAGGCTTCAGTAGCTGTGGTGTGTGGGCTTAGCTGCCCGGCAGCATCTGTGTTAATTTTAACTTTACCTCTCTGGCCCACCTCCAAGACTGAGAATGATCCTCTTTTCAAATTCTTCCTTTGCTTTATTCATATGTGAGTATCCACCGGAACTCCAGCCTCTGCCCTCTTTTCTTACTTTGTCTTCACTAGGTGATGGTGTTCACACCTCAATCTTCAGTTCCTCTGGGCTAATGACAAGTCATAACCTTTGTCTCCAACTTCTCCTGAGTTTCACCCCATGTCTCTAGGTATCTGTTAGACACGAATCCTCAACTTCAATGTCCTGTAGGTAGTTCAGACTCTAAATCCCAACTCTTCACTCCCCTCCCCAACACTTTTCCTCCTCCTATATTTCCTCTCAAGTAGCCATCATTAATCTTCATCCAATGCCGAAAACATAAACCTAGTAAGTATCTTCCACTCATTGCTGTCACTTTCTCCCTCCTTGAAATGATTCCTAAGTCCTGACCTCCTTGGAAGCTCTTGAATCTGTTCCTTTCTCTACACCTTTGCATGTGTTGAATATTTCACATCTGCTCATTTCATCCCTGGACTAAGTACAGTAAAATCCTTTTTCCTAGCTGTTCTGTTTGACTCCATTAACTTCCTTCTCTGTATCACCACCAAAGTGATCTTCCTGAAATTCAGATCCCATAATGACTTCCTTCTGTTTAAATGGCTCCCTCACCTTTCATCAGTTCAGTCGCTCAGTCATGTCCGACTCTTTGCGACCCCATGAATCACAGCACGCCAGGCCTCCCAGTCCATCACCAACTCCTGGAGTTTACCCAAACTCATGTCCATCAAGTCGGTGATGCCATCCAACCATCTCATCCTCTGTCATCCCCTTCCCTTCCTGCCCTCAATCTTTCCCAGCATTCAGGGTCTTTTCAAATAAGTCAGTTCTTAGCATCAAGTGGCCAAAGTATTGGAGTTTCAGCGTCAGCATCAGTCCTTCCAATGAACACCCAGGACTGATCTCCTTTAGCTTGGACTGGTTGGATCTCCTTGCAGTCCAAGGGACTCTCAAGTCTTCTCCAGTACCACAGTTCAAAAGCATCAATTCTTCGGTGCTCAGCTTTCTTTATAGCCCAACTCTCACATCCATACATGACCACTGGAAAAACCATAGCCTTGGCTAGACAGACCTTTGTTGGCAAAGTAATGTCTCTGCTTTTTAATGTGCTGTCCAGGTTGGTCCTAGCTCTCCTTCCAGGGAGTGCGCGTCTCCTCAGTGGTCCGTGCCCGTCCTCTGCCTTTCTGGCCCCTGTGCCGCCACCCCTTCCATGTGTCGTGTCTGTCTGGGTCAGAGACCTGTGCTCCGGCATTCCCTCAGGTACCACACATCCTTAGCCGAGGGTGCCTCCACCCATGTCTGTTCTTCACCCTGGATCTTTCCTGTTTAACTAACTGCTCCTTCTAATTTCGTTATAAGCGCAGCTCAAAGGCCACCATCTCTGAGGATTCTTCTTCAACTCTGCAGTCCCAATCTAAGTCAGATTACCTCTCGTTTATGGCCCCCTCTTGTATGTCATATTTGTCTATTACAACATTTTTCAAAACTGAATTGTTATTATTTATTTTTATTGAATATAGTTGATAAACCGTATTGTATTAGTTGCAGGTATATTAGCAGAGTGATTCAGTTATGCATATATATTTTTTCAGATTCTTTTTCATTATAGGTTATTACATGATATTGAACAGAGTTTCCTGTGCTATATATATAGTAAACCTTGCTGTTTATTTCTTTTATGTATAGTGGCCTATATTTCTTTTATGTATAGTATCTGTTAATTCTGTACTCCCAATTTATCCCTCCCACACCCCTTTCTCCTTTGGTAACCATACGTTTGTTTTCTATGTCTGTGTGTTTATTTCTGTTTGGTAAATAAGTTCACTTGTATTATTTAGATTCCACAGTTAAGTGATATTATACATTTGTCTTTGTCTGACTTACTTCACTCAGTATGATAATCTCTAGGTCCATCCATAATGCTGCAGGTGGCATTTCATTCCTTTTTATGGCTGAGTAGTACTATGTGTGTGTACGCGTGTGCACCACATCTTTATCCATTATCTGTTGATGGCTATTTAGGTTGCTTGGCTATTGTAAGTAGTGCGGCTCTGGACATTGGGCTGCATGTATCCTTTCAAATTAGAGTTTTTGTCTTTTCTGGGTATATGCCCAGGAGTGGAATTGCTGGATCATCTGGTTACTATTTTTAGTATTTTTAAGGAACCTCCATACTGTTTTCAATAATGGCTGCACCAAATTGTTATCGTTTATATTCTTGTTTCTCTCCCTCCTTTGACTGTGCTTCTTAAAGGTGGAAATTGTGACCTCTCCACCTCTTCTTCCTCAGTGTTTATAAGGACTTCGACTATACCAAGAAGGAATTGGATTGTTTTTGCTTTGATATATTTTTCTTTCCTTAGTGAGAAGCCACAGAAATGGAGAGTGGAAATAAATAGTGGTCAAAAGAAGGTGAAAACAGTTTGGCAACTGAGTGACAGCCCACCTGTAGACCATCTGAATTTTCACAGACCTGGTAAAGATGGTTTGTAGTCTATTCATGTAAATTATTCCAATAGAAAATAAACTAAGTTTACTGATAGAGATTATTATTAGAGCCCTTGTGCCTAGTTTTAAATAATTTTCTTGAACTCTAGATATAAACCTATTTATTCTGAAAAAAAAAATCATGAAAGAGTGCTTTTCTCATTTTCCCTCTTAGAGGAAATTTTATTAAAAGAGGCCAAGCAGTAGGGACATAGGTGTGAAAATAGGTTATGAAATGGAAATGCCTTGAGAAAAAAAAAATGAAAATGCTAGCTCATACTTCACACTTGTGTGTACTGTCTAAAACAGTGATGATATTTCTGCCCTAATACCTTCTCTGTATCTGAAATAAGGGTTGAGATTTCTAGTATTGTATCCAAGATGGTGTGTGTCCGTGAAAGGATGTCTTTTTGTGCCTGGTGTAATTAGCTGCCCCACTGAGTCTTCCTCCTTCAATAAGTACCTGTAAAACTGTTGTCTGTGTGCACATAGATTGTGTGAGGCTGTCATGTCTTATTTGTGTAAGTCTTAAATGGCTGATTCAAATATTGCAGAGATATCCAAAATGAAATATGATAGTTTTACGACAGAATTCAAGAAGAATTTGAGAGTCTGGAACACAAATAGTTCTGTTGTAGTGATTGATATGTTGCAAAATTATTTCCAGAAATTGTTTATTCTCCCCCCACCCACACCCAATATGTTTTGATTCAGATGTAATGGAAACTTCTCTTAAGTGAAATAGAAACATTTTGATTCACATGGCTGAACTGTAGAAGTCCTAAAGAAACTGATAATTCCTAAGAACCATCAGTTAAAATTGTGCTCTCTTTTCTAAGTGTGATATAAAAGCTGGAGCCTGTAACAGATTAAAAATGAACTGTATAAAAGTAAATTTTTGCCTGGCAAAAAATGCAGACAGACATTGCAAACAACAGACAAATGATAAACTAGCAAAAGAAATCTGCAGCTCCTGTTCATAAAAGGGGTGACATTCCCCAGTATATAAAGAACTTTCAAATCAGTAAGAAGAAAAATGAGCAAGTAATATGAACTGTGGCAACCCACCCCAGTGTTCTTGCTTGGAAAATCCCGTGGAGGAGCCTGGCAGGTTAATAGTCCATGGGGTCTCAAGAGTTAGACTGGACTTAGCAACTAAAACCACCACCACTACCAAAAAGTAAATTCAAGTCTAATCTTAAAAGGTGCTCAACCTCACATATAATAAGAGAAATGCAAATTTATATTATGTAGATACTTTCACCTGTCAGATTAGCACAGATCAACAGGTTTGGTGTCACCATGCTGGCCAGAATTTGGGGAAATCTTACACACTACTGGATGGAGTGTCAAGTTGTATGGCTTCTGTGGAGGGTGGTATCCACCAAAATAAAATTTTGGTGAATAAAAAGAATACCTTCTTTGGACCGCCAGTTCCATTGAAAGGAATTTATTCCACTTAAATAACCAGACATATGTGAAGAGGCCGAGAGACCAGATTACTAATTGTGGTATTGTTTACAGTAGCAAAAATATAGACTCGGGGCATAGAAGAACCTCTGAAAAGAGACAAACTAAACCCTGAGATGTGGAATGATGGGGGCAGGGGTGGGTCCCAGCTTTGATCATTAGAATCATCTGGGGAGCCTTTAAAGCCCTAATACCCAAGTAAATCAATCATTGGATATCAGAAGTTCTCCAGGTGATTTCATTGTGCCACAAAGGTCAAAGATAATCATTTTCAACATTTTATCTACATTTGTTTTTTCAGGTTTGTTTTTTTTTTTACTTAAAGGTGATTTATGATTTTACTTTATTTATGATTTTAAAAGTTTTAAGTGTGCATGAATAAATGTGATGTATTTTCCAAAAATGCCATTTAAAAATTTATTACATGAAGGTTATACCTCTGTTATGAGATTAATACAAGATTAAACACCTTTTAAACAAGATTAAACACCTTTTCCAATGATGCTAAATAAGTGAAGTATACAGAACCTATCTTCTAGAGTCTTTGATGCTTCAAAAAAGAATGCAAGATATTTTGGACGGTAAAGTTCAATCTATTTGCTAATGTATTGGTCCAGTGACTTCTTTTATGAAAATAAGGAATTTTAATGAAATCATATATTTGTGTGCTTGGAAACACATTCAAACTCCACTTGACTTGAACCTTATTACCTCTTCTACCCGTCATGTATTATTGATGTGTTTGTCTAGAAATTATTCAGTGACCTTTGGCCCAAAGGAAGACCCACTGTTAAAGGAGGACCTCATTTGTAAAAGTCATAAATTATTCACACAAAGCTTCAGTTATAGATATTAAAGCCCAGTAAATCATTTATTTTTGGCCAAAGATCATAGGCATTTACAAAATTAGACTTTCTGTTTCATTGGACTGAGCACTTAGGTCAAATACTAGCTTTTCAAGATACTTGATGGTATGATGCTTTTGAATAAAACAATTGACATCAAAAGCAGGAAGACTGAAGAGAGAGAAGTGTACTTTTAGCTGCCCCAGGAAGAAAGAATAATGACTTGGAGTTAATGGGGGAGAAAAACAGTATCCAGTAGAGTGCTGCCCACCCAGTGGGTGCTCGGCAGATGGTTGCTGGTAATGGTGGGAATATGGAAACCAAAATGTTGACCCACAAGGAAGTAGACATGGTCTCGTCTAAATGTTAATTGTATCATTTATTTTTGAAATACAGTAGTCTTCAGGAGAAAAAAAAATGGATGTGTTTCTAGCCCTAAGACTATAAATCCTAAGTAGAAAATGTTTTCTGAAATAATACTACGATTAGAAAAAGACAGTTGTTTAACCATAGCAAAAGAGGCACAAAAATTAAAGCAGTAGGTTCGCATATTTAAAATATCTCTCTCTCTCTTTTTTTTTTTTTGGACTACACCACACATTTTGTGGGATTTTATTCCCTGACCAAGTATCACACCTGGGCAGCCTGCAGTGGAAGCACGGAGTCCTAACCACTGGACTGCCAGGAAAATCCCCAAAATATATAATTAAAATTTTTTTAATTGAAATGTAGTTGCTTTACAATGTTGTGTTAGTTTCTGCTGTACAATACGATTTTTAGGAATCTAGTTTATCTCTTAGGTTTTTTTTTTAGTTAATTTTTATTTTTAAATTTATTTTTGGCTGTACTAGGTCTTCCTTGCTTCTCAAGCTTTTTTCCTCTAATTGCAGTGAGAGGGGGCTTTTCTCTGGTTGTGGTATGTGGGTTTCTCATTGCTGTGGCTTCTCGTGGCTTCCAGGCTCTAGAGCACAGGCTCAGTACTTGAATCTCGGAGACTTAGTTACTCCACAGCTTGTGGCATCTTCCTGGACCAGGGGTCAAACCTATGTCTCCTGCATTGGCAGGCGGATTCTTCACCGCTGAGCCACTAGGGAAGCCCTCTTGGTTTGTTTAGTCATTGTTTTCAGTGCATCAAGAAGGTTAACTATTTAAAGAAATCGTCTTTGCTGATTTTTGTCTAACAGGTTCTCTTCAGGTAGAAGACACATCATTCAGACCACCTCTTGATTATTGTAAAATTCAGCAGTAACTTAGTAGAAAAGCTGGGTGGTAATCAATTTTGATCTCTCTCTCTGGTTATAGATTTTTCTGAATTAACATTAAACGGTAGCCTGGAAGAAAGGATATCCTTTACTAACATGGTTACCTGCAGCCAGGTGCATTTCAAGTGAGGTGTGCTGCTGGGGCCCTCTGTAAGGTAGGGTGTTCATTCTTTATTCTCTGAAAATACTTAATAATGTCCTAAGTACCATATGTTTTTTCTTTTTTTCTTTCTATGACATAAATGCTGATTTAATACATTTGAAATATGAATTATTAGTAATCACATAAAAGGCTTACCAGGTGTTAGCTATGCAAGTCTTTAATTTCCTTTCTACCTTCTGTAGTTGAAAGAAGCTGTCAGAGTCAACTGACAGTTTAATCCTAACACTGGAAAAATGAAAAAACAATTTTTGAGTGATAATGTCTTTGTATCTGAAATCTGTATATATAGTAGAGAGTGGTTTCAAAGCCATTGATGGAACAGAAAAACCCTAAACAGCCATGTTGATTTGACATTGAAAGCAAAGTTTTGTGAAAAACGGTTGTAACTCATCCCAAATGTAGGACTAAGCCCCAGATGTAAGCACCTTTTTAAAAGGTTTAACTTGAGGTAGTATTAACCAAAAGAATGATTGGAATAACCCTCTCTATGATCTTACTGTTTTCGTGTTTCACAAATATTAAATAGAATCAGATAATGAATGAGTTTTGCTTAACGTTCTTTCTTAGGCTGTGTTTTCTACCCAATAAATGGATATTAATTTTAGTATTTTAGCATAGTTAAGAATAAAATGGACTTTTAAAAAACTATCCAGCTACAGAGAAGATACATGAATTAAGTATATAATATTTCTTTGAGCTATTTCAGTGAGTAAAGGATACTCATTTAGCATAAGAAAATTTCTCTTAGAAAAGTATACATCCTCACTTACTTAGTCCACATCTAGTGCTTTTGCATGATTGCCTGAAAGGGTTGTTATCTGAAGGATTGACTTTGTCTGTCATATGTAGCACAGTCCTAATGCGGTAGTCATTTCTACATTAAAATAATATTTCCAGACGGATTTTATTTTTTATTTTTATTTTTTATGGTTTTTTGGCCACAAGGCATGTGGGATCTTAGCTCCGCCTGAGAGATCAAACTTGCACCTCCTGCAGTGGAAAGTGGAAGTGTTAACCACTGGACCACCAGGGAAGTCCGCAGGACAGATTTTAAAATGAGATAAATCACAAAACCATTCATGCAGTATGATCCTTTCTGCAAAATAAAAATCAGTGCATAATATACAGTAAACTACTAACATTGACTTTGAGAAAGGTGAGGTTACAGGTGATTTTTATTTCATTTACACTTTCTTTTAATTTTCTAATTCTTAAATCCTAGCTCAAACTGCACCCCCCCCCCCAAAAAAATGGACAGAGGTAATGGGAAGGTAATTATCACAAAATCTGAAAACAGAGATGTGCCTCAACCTTTAAAGGAGAAAGATGCTGAAGAAGATCCTGATGGTTCTCTCTGAAAGATGCAGCTGCAGAACGGGTGACCGTGTCTCAGCTCAGACTCCGCAGGAGAAGCATCAGGAGAACTGCAGCGATTAGTATACAGAGGGTGCAGACTGTCGGTACCACGATCTCTGTCACGATCTGCATGTAACTTAGCAAAGGCTCTACAGTGGGGGGAGAGACCAACATGGCAGATGAGAAGGTGAATGCAGCTTCATCCTGAAAGCTTCAGCTGTCCGGAAAAACTTGGAACATGGCATCATCACACTTGCTAAATCTCATTTGTTATAAAAAAGAGAACCTGGTATATTACATGTTATATAAAATTGTGTAAGGGCTTCATAAGATATTTTAGAAAATATGGATAAAGAATGCTGATTTTTGGTTCTTCAGTACTATAATAAAGTCTATATGTATGTCAATGCTTGTGCTTACTCAGAATATTAGCAGCCATATTCCTCAGCTTCTATAATTCTCATTGGGGCGATTTAGATGATATTGGGTACGTTTACGGTGGTATGGCCGTGGACTCATTGGAGGGATTTAGGAAAAAAATTCCTTGAAAAATATTTGCAGCTTTTCAAAGGTATGATTGTATATCTTAAGAGGTATAGGAATTTCTGTATTGAACATTTTTATGGTAATTCTTACCATAGCTAAATAATTTTAAGAGTTAAATGATAAATATTATTCCATGTGCATTAATATTGTGGTAGACTTTTATGAAATGCCTGCTTTTAGGTTTTGTGCCAGGCATCCTTGGTTACTGAGATAAATAAGGCACAGACCCTATTCTCATGGAGCTTGTGGGCTCAGTAGTAAATTCTACATCATGTTTCTGTATTAATTTAATAGAATATACATCTTTAATATTGCTTGATTATTTAGATGAGGGGGGAGGGGACAGTGGTATATTGGCCTATAAAAAATAGCTGAGTTGGTAGGATTTGTGCTAGCATTTTCCACCTCTGATACTACATTAAAGATGAATTTGTTAAATGTGCATAACAGTAAAAAAAAAAAAATTGTTAAAACAGGAAGTGTATTTATCTCATTGCCCTTATGTATGGTGGTTTAGTTGCTAAGTCATCTCTGACTCTTGCAACCCCATGGACTGTAGCCTGCCAGGCTCCTCTGTCCATGGGATTCCCAGGCCAGAGTACTGGAGTGGGTTGCCATTTCCTTCTCCTGGGGATCTTCCCGATCCAGGAATCGAACCTGGGTCTCCTTCATTGCAGGCAGACTGACTGAGCTACAAAGGAAGCCCCTTATATATAAAAACAAACTACAAAGAAACAGATGATATGCATTGGCTTTTCTTGATGCATGTTTACTATCCTGCATCTCTGATTCTTTTAGGTCCTATTGCATTAGAAATGCCTTCTGTGAGAGCAAGGACCTTGTTTTGTTTATTGCTATGTCCCCAGGGCTTAAAACACCCTTGAGCCAATAGCGACTGTTTAATAATTACTTGCTGAGTGAGTGAATATAATGTCTAGAGTGTTCGTGGATTTTTCTTCATTCCATTTGGTAGAATGGTTGAATTTCTCCCTCCTTCCAGCAGCCCGCTATAACAATAGATTTATAAATTTACACTATGATTCAGAATCAAACTAGAGTAGATAAAATATTTCTTTTTCATGGTAGATTTTTAGAAGATATTTCGAAAGCTGATAGAAATTTGACATTGCTTCAAAATAAAGGGGAAAAGTCCATTTCTAATCATGTGGTTTTGGAAGATTGACTTAAGGTGGGTCCACATTTTGAGATTTTGATAATACCACTACATACGTTAATTACATGGTTTAATTATCAAAGAATTACACTTACCTGCAGCAAGCATCTGGTTGTTGATAGAGCAAATTTCCAAGGCTTTGAAGTACCAACTTTCCACCTAATAAAAACCCACTTGGTAAGTAAAGTTGTCTTAGACTATGTTTACACTGTTTGAAATCACTTTTGGAATAGTGTGGGGTAAAATTTTTTTAAGAATCTGATTATAGTTTAATCAGTTAATATTTATTGAACACCTATGCATCATTGTGAGGGAGCCAAAGAGCAGTTTTTATTCTTATAATCTAGCTATCTTTTTCTAATAATGCAATTACTATCTTTTCTACTAATGCAAAAATAGTGAATACCTGATAACTATCAGTCACTGCTTCTATTTATAGTCCAACTAGGCTCACCCTAAAAGAATGTTGATAAACAAGTGAGGTTTTTTCAAAAGAATTAAGACACTCTAAATTACAACTTGCATTCCCTGCCATTGGGTGCAACAGCATAGAGAATAGAGAGCTGATAGAAAAATGTGTAGGTTATAGAAAATGGGAGGTTTTATAGAATATTTTTTATTATTTTAATCTCATTTTGGAAACAGTGCACTTGTATTGCTGTGCCATTTGGTCGGAAAAGAAGTGAAAAGTGTAATAACCCTAGTCTGCTCTTAATGTTCTGTGTGCTAGAATTGCATTGTCCTTATCCCCATTCCAAGCAAATAAGCAAGAAGGGGAAAAAACACCAGGCTCTGTTCCCAGATACCCCTGTGAGGTGCTTGCTAAACTCTGTACTCCAGTTACCTAGTTCTAAAATCCAGAAAGAATAACATCGAGAATTATTCCTACCTCTCTCGGATTGGGAAACCCATTGGCGGTGATAATCCTCTTGTAATATTCAACTGAAGCCTTTGGATAGCGCGGCCTATTTTTCTTGTTGAAATCAATATAGTAGAATCCATATCTATCTGAGTATCCTCTCTCCCATTCAAACTTATCCAACAGAGACCAGGAGGTATACCCTTTTACATTAGCACCATCTTTGATAGCTGCAAAGACATTTTATTACATTTTGAATATGTTTTATTTTCTTTGAAAAACACTATTGTGAAGATAACCTTAAATATTTTCATTTATGAGATTGAAGACAGTTTGTATCTTACCTTTTAGCATTTCATTTGTGTATCCTTTAAGATATTGAATTCTCCACTCATCACACAGTTGGGTACAGTGTAATTTTTGAGACGCTCCATTTTCTGTCACATATATGAGTGGATTGCCGTATTGAGTCTGAAAGGAATCATGGCAACACATATTGAAGCCTGCCATATTCTAATTGGGCATGTTTGGCATTTAGTAGATGCCAGTTAGCATGTTTATTTAGAGATGAATGCAGGCAGAAGGCAAGTTCATATAGAAAAAAATCGTATATATATATGTATTTATTTTTGGCTGCACCATGAAGCAAAAGGGATCTTAGTTCCCTGACCAGGGATTGAACCTGTGCCCCCTGCATCCCTGCACTGGAAGCATGGAGTCTTAACCACTGAACCACCAGGGAAGTCTCAGAATAATTGATTTCTTGACAAGCCATCATTTTAGAGAAAATATGCTTCAGGTCTTGTTTTTGTCCATATGTTCCATTACAGGTGAGAAGGGCACAAAAATACATATGAGATTTTTTGAAGTTTTATTTATAAATGTATATAGTATCTGTATCACATGTAATCATGTTGTTATATATGATATATATGCATATTACATGAATTTAATTTATATAAGATATAACAACTGTGTATATGATCTCTATATATGATTATTAGTAGGCATTCATTTTTTTTTGGCCATTCTGTGTACCATGTGGGATCTTAGTTCCCTGACCAAGGATTGAACCTGTGCCCCCTGCAATGGAAGTTGAGAGTCTTAACCATTGGATCACCAAGGAAGACCACATTAGTCTTTCTTTAAGGCCTGTATCTAGTAGCTGCTGAAGTGTAACTGGGTTCTTTAATTTAACTTTTAAATGTAGGCACCTGAGCTTATGCTGTAAAAACATGAATTCAGGTAAAAAATGTCCTTCAGCTTAATGTAGTCACCTGAGCAAAGTTGAGAAGCCTCCGAAATCCCCATGGCACAGAATATAGCCATTTAGATCCCAGATCAGGCCAGTTTGGGTCAACCAGTTCTACTAAGTCACGATCATTCAGGTAGCTGGGACCCTGGCCAGAGGGATAGTTCCGTTCCGTGATGTACCGAGTCGTAAAATGACCTAAGCCCAAGAAGTCAGATGTGCCTTTAATGTAGCTTTTCTCCTGGAGTGAGAACACTGGCAACCTCGACATTTCCAGGCCTTGCTCTGCACTCTTTCTTCCTAATGAGAGAAAAAAGTAGAATTTAACCAAGTTTTATTTTCTCACAGTCATTCTATTGTCAGGTACCACAATGATATTGGTGTATTGACATGTAAGCCATTATCCAGATCATGGGCTTTGGAATGCATCAGCATGGAAATTGTAATCTTAGCCTTTCAAACTGGATTTTGTCATTGGAATACTAGCCAAAAATTTTTCAGTTCATATTGCTTAAAAGCAGTATTTTCACAGATTACTCAGTAAGTGGTATGTGGAAAGTTGTACAGCTATCTGGAAAAAAGTAGAACTAGGTTATTCCTTACATCAAAAATTGGTAATTTTGTTTGCCTCTGGGAAGGGAACTGGAGGCCAGCGATACTCTGGTCAGCAGGGGAGAGACGTGTTCAGGCCTGTGGTGGTGTCAGCTGGTACCACCTCTGTGTTGGGCAATGTCCTCGCTTTCAAAATTGTAAAAGTGTATGTCCTTTCACTGACCGATACTAAATCTACTTATTCTACACTACTTACGTAAAAGGATGTATGTACAAGGATCTTCATTAACAAAAGATTGGAAGCAACCTGAAGGGCTGTCAGGAGAGACTGATTAATAGGTAAGTGATGGGGTGTGTTACATCAGTACCACACTGCAGCCATTAGAATGAATGAGGCGGTGTTTCATATACCAGCATAGATGAGTGTCAAGATGGATGCTTGAGTGAAACAGATGCAGAGCATTATGAATATGTAAGTATGTACACACACCAAGCAGCAGTATTTTTTGCTTATGTGTGCATAATCCATCTCTGAAAGTGTACTTCCTTCTGGGGAGGATAGGAACAGTGAGGTGGGGGAGGGAAGGAAACTTAACCTTTTTCACTTTTTTGTACTTGAAAAAATTTTAATTTTTTTACACTAACTTTGATGTTTGTAGGTTCATCTTTATGTTCAAAAAAAGAAATATTTTAGAGACAAGTTCCATAGTTTGAGGCTTAAAGAAAGACATAAATTAAGGTCAGAAATTTGCTGCCTCCAAAACAGAAAATGAGTGCTCAGGTTAAGACTTTATTCACAGAAAGCTCAGTAAACAGCTGTCATCCTCACTGTCCTGACCCTCAACATCATCTTTATTTTTACATCATTCTGTTTCTTGGGAACTACAACTAGATGTTTAATAGATATACTTTGAAACATGTCCTTGTATAAACTACTCAAAAAAAGTTTAAGTCAATGTATAAAGGAAAGTAACATTTTTATGAGTTGATAATTAAAATGCAGTCATAAAAGTGTTTCCAAAGAGGTTACTGGTTTAGATTAAATGAGTGAAAAGATTGTATTATTAAATCCATTTAAATACTAAATGTTATTATTTTCAGTTATATTTAGGAACTTGAGAAAAACCATAGGACTTGTCACTGTAGTGTCTACTATAATAACCACTCACCATATGTGGCTACTGGAATATAGCTAATGTGACTGCATCTTCAACTCAGTCACACTGAAGGATTGAACTTTTAATTTTGCTTTATTGGAATTTAAATAGACACAACTCACTACAGGCTCTCATATTGAACAGCACAAGTATAGGACATGTAGAACATTTCCATGATCACCAAAGGTTCTGTTGCACAGTACTGGTCTAAAATTACCTTTCTTCATGTATTTATTGTGAATGAATGCTTCAGAGATGTCTGGGAGTAATTTTCAAATGGGGTTTCAGGCAGAGTGCTTTCACTACTAAAGAAAATATTGTTTTGTCAACTATAGTCAATAATGCTGGAGGAAAAAAAAGAAAAACTACATAGAAGATCCTTCTTTCCACATTGTATAAAGGAAAAACTGAGCCCTGTTCTCACTTAAATTTTCAGAGCTGGAGTTGGTGGGGTCTAGGTTTATTGACCTTAAACCCAAGAACTTCTCTAGAATAAGTAATCAGTTTGGCTCTTTAGTACAATCTTGTGGCGCCTGCAGTGGCTTCTGAGGGTCCCGAGAGAGCAAACACAGCATGTGAATGATGGGGTGTGTCTGTAGGAAATGTTCCATGTGGGCACTGTCCTATCTGAGGGCTTTTTTCTTACACATCTTCAGGAATGATTTTCTCAAGATTTTGAGTGTGTATGCACAGATGTGTCACAGAAATGGTTATGTGTAACATAGGCAAAATTATTTAAGTCAATACATTTTTATGGAATTCCACATGTTCTGGTTCTTTCCACTGGCAATCACCTTAGTTCCTCCAGTCATAATTTCCAAGATAACACAGCCCTTTCGAAAAGATTTGCTCAATCCATAGCCATCATGTCAGTCAGTCCACAGTTACTTTTAGTTGGGCCTCTGATCTCCATTGGAACAGGTACACACTTCAAAATCCCCTATCTATAATCTTTGAGATCCAGTTTCCTCAAACAATTTATTTTAGGACCCTTGAAGTTAAAGATAGCAAGTACATTACTATATATTCCTTCATCTTTTCTAATATTGAAAAGTCTTGTTATATCCAATTTTTACTCATTAGCCTAGCAAAAAATGTTACCAGTCTCACTCACCACTTCAATAGAATAACAACAATGGAAGCAAAACTTGCATTCTCAACGTGGCCACATTAACAATTTATGGACACTAATCCCTTCACTTTTAGATTATAAAGACTGAGACAGGAAGAGGTGAAGCACCTTGCCCAGAATCACTCACTGGTTAGTGACCGAGTTGGAATTAGAACTTGCTGCCAACTCTTCTAGAGAAGTCTGATAAAATGGTGCTTTAGAAGGGGAAATTTTTGATACGCTGATGCAAACATTCTTAGTCAAACACTAAAATAATGTTGATGTGTGAGAGTTTAATCTATTTCACTGTCATCCTTGCCTTTTTCTAGGGAGGCTGAAACCAAATCCCAATTACATGTTTTAGATTGGCCAGACACTGCTGGTCGCCTCCCCAATAGTCCCATGCTGGTCTGCTTCCGTGTTCTCCTTCTCACCCTCTTTCCGAGAGCTACAACCTTTCTGTAAGTCTTAGTTCTCTGCCGCACAGCCCCCCCCCCCCCAACCTCTGAGGCTCTAGTCCTGGTGGTCAGGGCACCCTGGGGCTAGTGACAGTTCTGTCCCCTGAGGCGCAAAGGCGACAAAGAACTCTACTAAAAAGATCTTAACGACCCAGATAATCATGATGGTGTGATCACTCACCTAGAGCCAGACATCCTGGAATGTGAAGTCAAGTGGGCCTTAGGAAGCATCACTATGAACAAAGCTAGTGGAGGTGATGGGATTCCAGTTGAGCTATTTCAAATCCTGAAAGATGATGCTGTGAAAGCGCTGTGCTCAATATGCCAGCAAATCTGGAAAACTCAGCAGTGGCCACAGGACTGGAAAAGGTCAGTTTTCATTCCAATCCCAAAGAAAGGCTATGCCAAAGAATGCTCAAAACTACCACACAACGGCACTCATCTCACATGCTAGTAAAGTAATGCTCAAAACTCTCCAAGCTAGGCTTCAACAATACATGAACAGTGAATTTCCAGATGTTCAAGCTGGTTTTAGAAAAGGCAGAGGGACCAGAGATCAAATTGCCAACATACATTGGATCATCAAAAAAGCAAGAGAGTTCCAGAATAACATCTATTTCTGCTTTATTGACTATGCCAAAGCCTTTGACTGTGTGGATCACAATAAACTGTGGAAAATTCTGAAAGAGATGGGAATACCAGACCACCTGACCTGCTGCCTCTTGAGAAATCTGTATGCAGGTCAGGAAGCAACAGTTAGAACTGGACATGGAACAACAGACTGGTTCCAAATCAGGAAAGGAGTACGTCAAGGCTGTATATTGTCATCCTGCTTATTTGACTTATATGCAGAGTAACTCATGAGAAATGCTGGACTGGATGAGGCACAAGCTGGGATCAAGATTGCCGGGAGAAATATCAATAACCTCAGATATACAGATGATACCACCCTTATGGCAGAAAGTGAAGAACTAGAGAGCCTCTTGATGAAGTGAAAGAGGAAAGTGAAAAAGTTGGCTTAAAGCTCAACATTCAGAAAACTAAGATCATGGCATCTGGTCCCATCACTTCATGGCAAATAGATGGGGAAACAGTGGAAGACTTTATTTTGGGGGGCTCCAAAATCACTGTAGATGGTGACTGCAGCCCTGAAATTAAAAGATGCTTACTCGGAAGGAAAGTTATGACCAACCTAGACAGCATATTAAAAAGCAGAGACATTACTTTGCCAACAAAGGTCCATCTATCTAGTCAAGGCTATGGTTTTTCCAGTAGTCATGTATGGATAAGAGAGTTGAGCTATAAAGAAAGCTGAGTGCCGAAGAGTTGATACTTTTGAACTGTGGTGTTGGAGAAGACTCTTGAGAGTCCCTTGGACTGCAGGAGATCCAACCAGACCATCCTAAAGGAAATCAGTCCTGACTATTCATTGGAAGGACTGATGTTGAAGCTGAAATGCCAATAATTTGGCCACCTGATGCAAAGAACTGACTCGTTTGAAAAGACCCTGATGCTGGGAAAGATGGAAGGCAGGAGGATAAGGGGACGACAGAGGATCAGATGGTTGGATGGCATCACCGACTCAATGGACATGAGTTTGAGTGGATTCCAGGTGTGGTGAAGAACAGGGAGGCTTGGCATGCTGCAATCCATAGGATCACAAAGAGTCGGACACGACTGAGCGACTGAATTGAACTGAACTGAGGCTCAAACGGAAGTCAACTGGAAGTAGAAGCTGTTTCTTAGGAAGATTTTCCTTGTTCTTAAAAACAGATGATATGCTATTCCCTTTTTTTCTGCTTCAGAGTGTTGATATACAAAGATGTGATGCCTGGAGCTGCTGTAGCCATCTTGTGGCCTTGGAAAGTAGATGACAAGTTAGCTAAAAGTGCCAGAGTAGGAAAGATGAAATGAATCTGGGTTCCCAAAGACATCCCTGAGGGCTGAATTAACTACTTGTGGATCACCCTTTTCTGGATTTCAGGTAAGATGATAAATCCTATACTTTTCAATCCATTTTATTTGGAGTTTTCTATGAAGTGGCAGTTAAAAACATTGAAATTATAACATTGTCTTTATTCTCTTCTCTGACACTGTGGAAAGCAGAACTTGGAAAGTATTCCTCAAGGGACAAAAAGAACCAGCAATAGGACTGAGTCCACCCAAGACCATGTCTTTGACTCCTCACTCCTACTTCACTGCATTTGGGTGGAGAGGAGTGGGGAGGAGAAGACAGGACAACAGAACACAGAAGAAAGCGGCTTAGAGAATTGCTAACTGTTCTTCCCCTGGATTCTGACATTCTCATTTTCCGGGTCTAGAAACTTGTTTGGATGTCCCTCGCCCTTCCAGTTCAAACAACCAGTTCTCAGTTCTTTGGGGGCTGGGTTACCCCTTGAGTGCTTCACCCGAACCAGCCCAGCGTGTTCTTTCCCCCTGCCTGTCCATCCTTTGACTCGACCTCCATACTGTTGCTGTGGTATCTGGAGTCTGAAAAGGTGACATGGCTCACCGATATGGTCCTTCATGACTTGGGGGTAGTCACCGGCGTAAATGGGGTTGGCAAACCAGCCCAGGCAGAACTGTAGGTATCTCTCGGCAGCCTCTATGTCCTTGGGGTTACTAAGGTCCACAGGCTCCCCCCAGTCGCAGTTTAATGAAATCCCCACCAGACCTTAAAAGAAAGAAGAGGGGGTGGCAGGCAGGATGACTGCTCCACTGGTCACGCGTCTGCTCTCGGTGCTCTTGGTAGGAGGACTCACCTTGCTGCTGACTGCGCCATGTGTCGTTGTAGGCGTGCCAGACTTGGGCGTGGGCCTGGAAGAGAAAGGAGTCCATCGGGGGTGCCGACCTTATCCATTTCTCTCCTCCCTTTCAACCCCTCCTTTCTAACTCTGGAGATCATTTTAAGTTTCATCCTTTTCATGAGTCCAGCATTGATTAGCCCGATCCATAGTCCCCCTTCCTCTGACCTCCATTTCCTTGTACTGTGGAGGACACTAGGTCTAAATCTGGCATGAACGCATCAGCCACCACTTTGCGTCCCTTATTGTCTCTAAGGTTTTCGCTAACATGTCTGCTTTGTCCCTGGTTGTCCTGTGCTGTCCCTAGGCATTGCTCTCAGCATGTGCACTCAGGAAATTAGGAAAACACCAGGCATCTGAAACAGTCTTGAGAAACAGAATGCAAAGTGTGCCAACCTGCCTTCTCTCCACATTCTCCCCCAGGGACCCACTGATGTTTTCAGAGCTCTGCCCTTTAAATATTCAGTTAAAGAAATCCTAAGCTCCATAGAGAAAGAATGAGAAAGTTCTCTTGCTGACATGAATTTGAGGGTCTGGAATGTCCCCAGTGGTCCCTTGCCTGCCCGCTTGATCAGATTGTCCGCCTTCTGTTGAGAGTACATTGGGGGCCACCCCACCAGGCCTTGCATCCATTCCCCGGTCATCGTCACCTGGACCCTCATATATGTCCTGGAATGGGACGCATTCCTTTCCCCGCTTCTCAGGCCCTTCAGCATCTCCTCTGTCCTCCTCAGTTTCTGCCCTAACTGAGCCTGGCTGCCCCTGCAGACCACTGCAGCCACTGCAGCTCTTTCCAGCAGATGCCGTTTTTCCCCCTCACACCCCACATACCCTAGGAGAGTGTCTGCCTTGCTCTTTGTTGTTGCTTCCAAATGATTTCTCCTTCCTCCTCCAAAAACTCCAGATCCTCTGACGTCCATGCTATCAGACAAGCACTCCTAACCCCTTCCTACTGCTGTCCTTCACCACCCTCCTCTTCTGCTCGTGCACTGAAGATTTTCGCCCCTAGCTCTCTGTCATCCCCCTTTCCTCCTGTCACCATGCCCCACAAGACAGTTTAGACCTGTAGGTGACAAGTTTTCACACTCATGGGCTCCAGCCCCTCGGCCAGATTGGCCGCTCTAGGGGACAGTCCTGGCATCTGGGCCGCAGTGTCCAGCAGAGTACTGGATGGGACCCTCGCTCACAGATGCCCATGGAAGGGAAGGGGACGGCGTGGGTGCGAAGGGCAGAGGACTGGGCTCAGACTCGGGCCCCTGGGCAGGCTTAGCTGTCACTGGGGCTCCGTGCTCCACCTTGACCCCGGCCTTCACCCCCAGAAGGACCCACCTCACCTTAATGACATGATGCGCCGCCTTGTACAGGCCCGTGCCCTGGAGCTTCAGGCCAGGTGCGTGGTGGCCTGTCTCGTAGCCCTTTTCTGCCATTGTCTGCAGGGATGGCAAGTGGGGCCCACAGGACCCGTGAGAAGTGACAGGGTGCCCTCTTGGCTGGAAAGTGGGTTTTCCCACCTGGAGTGGGGGCCTGCTTACCCGAGGATCACTGAAAGTAACCCAGTGTTTCACACGGTCCCCAAAAGCCTCAAAGCACAGGTTGGCATAATCACTGAAGTAGTTGGCCATGCTCACGTTCTGCCACCCGCCGCACTTGGCCTGGAGCAGCTGCGAACAGAGGGGCGGAGAGAGAAGCAGGTGCCCCAGGGGTCCATCTCCAGAAAAGACTTTTGGGGTCAATGGGCCAAGTTTGTGGAAGAAGCTTGGAGGATGTTTAGAAGAAAGGGGAGCAAAGATGCAGGGTCTCAGGCATTAAAACTTGAAGATTTAGGGGGGTGGAATGGGTCAGGTGGGAGGGAGGGAACATGTGTGTGTGTGTGTGTGTGTGTGTGTGTGTGTGTATAGCTGATTCACTTCATTGTACAGCAGAAACGTACACAACATCACAACTTTGTAAAGCAATTACGCTCCAGTAGAGAGAGAGAGAGAAGACTTGAAGATAGTGGCAGTGTTTAACTATAGAGAAACATGGAGACATATTATACCTTATACAAACAAGAGGGAGAAAGCAGAGAAAGTTTGAGATTCTCGTGCTTAAAAAGAACTGTATAGAATGAGTATTTAAGAAAATTTGCCAGAGGAAAGAGGTCTGATCATGAGAAAAGAATCTTGATTATAAATTCTGAAGAAAGAAGACACAATGCTGAGAGTGGGAACCCTGGTTAGAGTTTCCAGGGCCGTGCAGGGTCTCAGAAACCTCCCAGAAGCCTCTGTCATGAGAGCAGTTCTGCTTCCTTCAGGGCAGGGCTCTCTCCCACCCAAGGGCATCTGCTCATCATGCAGGGTTTCCCCAAGATTCACCGCTCCGTCAAGATTGCCTTCTGCACTCGTCTTGGAGGGCTTGAGGGAATGCTAAATGGGCAGTGACAGTGATCGACCAGGGAAGAAGATGAAGGTGGTTTCCAGTTCGCCTCCCGAAAGCCTGCTCTGCACCCCCAGCCCCAGCGCAGAGGCGTCCTCCCGCCGCATGCCCAGCCCTCCAGAGCGCCGATGGAGCTCCATCTTCTCCCTCACACCTCCCTGAAGCCGGCGTCCTGTCCTCTGCCCTCCCACCACCCTGCATCACAGGGACCACAGAAACGACTCCTCTGCCAGCTGGGCTCTGAGGAGCCTTGTTGAGCAAATGGAAAAACTTCTTGAATGGTGCTGTCTAACAGTGAGGTTCCTACAGAGATCACCTGGGAGGGTGGGGGTGCTCATCTTTTGTAATTTTTTTTTATTAACTTATAAATTTTTTTGGCATGTGGGATCTTAATTCCCTGACCAGGGATAACACCTGTGCCTCCTGCATTGGGAGCAGTGAGTCTTAACCACTGGACCACAAGGAAAGTCCCAAGGGCGCTCATGTATGAGCACAAACAGTGCTAATTCTAACAAACTAGGGAAAGAAAGGCTGAGCAAACTTGTTAATTCCATGAACTCTTACTCAAATAAGACTTCTTTCTTTATAAGTTTGAGTTGTTGCTTCTAGGTTAAATGTTTTGGGAAACATCAGAATCTGCACTTACCACTGAATTACAAACATCAGTTAAATCAGTGTTACCTCCCTGCCATGGGTAAGTTGAGAGATTTCTTCTTCACTTCCTGCCATCTTTCTATCCTGAGCCAGAGCTCAGACTCCAGGCTTTGCCCCCACCTTGGCCATCCCAAGTGCCCAGAGCAGGCTCCCTCCTGCTGAGCTGAGCTTCCCCTTGGGCCTCTGAACCTGCACAGCCTCACCTGTGGGAGATCCCAGTGGTGCAAGGTCACGATGGGGGTTATGTTGCTCTTCAGAAGGGCATCGATGAAGTCACTGTAGAATTGGATTCCCTTCCTGTTCACCCCATCAGCTGAAGGGGAAATAAAAGGAGACGTGATGAGAAAGGATGTTGGCTTTCTGAAGTGCACTATGCTGGGACCCTGGAGCTTTCTGCAGGCCTGAAAGCACACTCAGTCCACCAGCACTTGGGTCTCAGATGGTGGAATAGCTACTCCTGGGAGTCCAGCCAGGAGTCCCCAACCTCGGGGATCTAATGCCTGATGATCTGAGATGGAGCTGATGTAATAAAAATAGAAAGCACACAGTAAATGTAATGTGCTTGCATCATCCCGAAACCATCCCCCAAAACCATCTGTGGAAAAATTTTCTTCCATGAAGCCAGTCCCTGGTGACAAAAATGTTGGGGACTTCTGAGCCCAGCTACCTTCAGAACCCATGAGAGATGCTGCTGGGGAAACTGTGCTTGTGGGCTGTTCTCCCCACCCAGGACTTGTGGAGTCCCCACCAAACCAACATGACCAAAAGAGGCCACTCTGGGGCAGGGATAGGGTGGTCTTAGCTCACCTCGGACACCCGTGGGCAGGAGCCGGGGCCAGGAGAGGGAGAACCGGTAGTGGCTGACATGCAGCGCTCTCAGCAGAGCGACGTCCTCCTGTGCAGACGGGGGTGGGTGCGGGCTGGGTCAGCCAGGCCCTGCTAGGGCGCCTCCTGCCCACACTCCGCATCTATACAACAGGGGTGATGCCACCTCCCCCTGCTTCCTCCTGGGGCTATGCCAGGAGTCAAGTAAAAGGCAGGATATGGGGGTACTCTGAGAAATCCGTCAGGGTGCTGGACCCCCAATCCCGAGAGGAAAGTGGGTGCTGGGCAGAGGGAGAGAGGATGAGCTGGTCCCACTGTCTCCATGGGGCCAATTCCCATAGAGGGGCCAGGGGGGTCAGGCCACGATGGCCTGTAGGCCCTAGGGTCATGGCCTTGGCCCTTCAGCTGCCCATCCCTTAGACTAAGGCCCTGGCTCCGGTGGGGCCTGCTTTCTTTTCCTTCTATAGCCACATACCTTCCCATATCCTGGCACCCACTCCCCAAGCCCCAGTCACCACCAGCCCCTCCCTGCCCAGCGGCATCGAGGTTGGGGGGTTTAGCAGAGCACCTGGTGGACGCTGACATGTGGGCTCCCCCAGTATGTCACCTCCCAGCTCTCGCTAGGTGATGCTCAGTCACACTCGCACACGCATACCCATCACTCACTTGGACCTTGTAGTAGCTGTTGCAGGCCACGTCTGCTGTCTCGTCCCCAAGGACGTTCCCCTTCCCGCTGTGCGTGAAGGTGTCCCAGATGCTGGGCCCTTTCCCATGCTGGTCCCAGGCGCCCTCAGTCTGGAAGGCGGAGCTGCCCACACCCCAGGAGAAGCCTGCAGGGGGAGACCCCAAGCTGGGCCCTGAGCCTTCTCCTACTCCCCATCCGGGACTGGGATCCTGGGCTGTGCTTCCAGGACCACAGGACAAGCCCCCTCCCTGGCAGCCTGCCCTATCTCCCTAGGGCTAGGGGTGGGAGCATGTGTGGCAGGGGGAGGGGAGAGACATACTACAATTTTAGCTCTGAATGGCATTTAGTATCTATATAGTAACTTTAAAAAAAATCTGTTAGGCACCGTAAACATGATATATAAAACAGATAACTAATGAGAAGCTACAGTATGGCACAAGGACCTCTACTTAATGCTCTGTGCTGACCTAAATGGGGAGGAAATCCAAAAAAGAAGGGCTCTATGTGTACATATAACTAATTCATTTTGCTATATAGCAGAAACTAACATAAGACTGAAAAGCAACTACACTCCAATAAATATTAAAAAATCTGTTAGGAGCTTTTATTTCAGAACCACTACATGGAGTTATTTTCACCATCCTACCTATAAGGAAGCTGAAACACCGAAACTCCTGGACAGGTCAGCCAGTGTGGGCAAGCCGACAGACAGATGGACAGAAGGAGAGAGCAACTGAAGAGTGGACGTACCAAGTGGGAAGTTTCCATAGTAGAAGGAGGCCTCTTCTGGGGATTCCTTCCTGGTGGCCCCCAGCCTGGACGCCAGCAGTAGCACCCAGCAAACAGTAACAACGCGCACTGGCTTCATGGCCCCCGGCCCTCCCCCATACCTGAAAAAGCACATCTGACAGGTGTCAGCCCAAGCAGCCAGGATTCGGGGTAGGGGGTGCAGATCCTGGCTTGAGGGCAGAGACAAGAGAGGAGGAGGAGGGACTAGTGGGGGATGCTTTATCTGATGAAGCATTGGCTCTTTTAGGGGCAGGTTCTCTGTGGTTTTGCTGGGACACATTAGCACAGGCTGAGACTGGGCTCCAGATACAATCCTCAAGTTAGATACCCAGGAGGACAAAGACTGGGCTTGGGGAGCTCTGGGTCTGATGGGCAAGGCTTCAAACCACCCCGTGTCCCTGCCTGATGGGGGAGACCTAACCTATACTCTGTGATGGCTTCAACCCACTGGGGAAACCACTCTGGCTTAGGGATGCTCTAGTCTGATGGGGGAGGCAGAACAAGCCACAGAACCCCTGCAGCACCCCATGTACACAATGCGGCCTATTCAGAGAGACAGACCCTCCCCAAGCCGGGGGTCATAAGAAGCGTCGCCATCCCAGGGTCTTCAGTCCTAAGGGTCAAATTCCCTTCCCCTGGGCTCCCCTCTCTGACCCAGCCTAGTCAGCTTACCTGGATTGTCCTTGGTCCCAGACACCCCAGAGTAGCAGCTGGTGTCCAGGGCGCTCTCCGCCTGACCCCCCAGTGCCTGCGTGCCCCTCTTCCTGACTGCAGAGTCCTCAGTGCAGCGAAGGCTCTGGGTTGGGGGTGTGACCAGTGGCCTAACCCCCCTACAAAGGGCTTCAATAGCCCCAATTCAGTGGGGAGGGCAGGAATGCTGAGCTGGCCAGCAGGGCCTGAGTCAGCAGCCCGGGAGCTTGGCCCTGGGCCCAGGGCATCCAGTCAGCCCCCTCCCAGGGTAAAGCGGAGGCCACCCAGTCCCCTGGTCCCTTCTGGACCTGATGCGTCACCTCCAGCCCACCTTAACCTGTGAAACGCCAGGTGGCTAGGTAGAGAGCATCATGGGAGAGCATCTGTCTCTGTCTCCACCCATCCCCAGCCAGCCAGAGTTCACTGTAGAAGGTAAGTTTGGTTCTCCCACTTCTCCTTCCTCTCTTTGGATCCCTCATTCATTCCTTTACTCTCTCACTCATTCAAACACGACTGCCTGAGAAATTACTTGGCAGTCCAGTGGTTAGGCACTTTCACTGCCACGGGTTGATCCCTGGTCAGGGAACTAAGATCCTGTAAGCCTCTTGGGGTGGCCAAAAAACAAAAAATACAGAAAAAGAAAGAAAGAAAGAAAAGGTGAGACTTCCCTGGTGGTCCATTGGCTAAGACTCTATGACCCCAGTATAGGAGGCCCAGGTTCAATTCCTTGTCAGGGAATTATAGCCCACATACCACAACTAAGAGTTGCATGCCACAACCCAACACAGCCAAATAAATAACTATTAAACAAAAAAAACAAAAAATCACCCACCTTCCCTGGAGCCTCCGCACCTCCTGCTCCCCATCCAGGCTGCCAAGCCCCTGCCACATGCCTCTTTCACTACAGTGTTCCCACCTTTCGCTCTCACTGTCCACTCCCTCACCCCAATCCCTGCATCTCACTGAGCAACTAGCCTCCGTGCCTTCAGCTGATCTCCACCGTGACTCCATAACTGGGCGGTTCCTACGCCTTTGTGGTTGATTCCTTTCTTTCTGCCAGGGTGAAATGGGGCTTTGTCTGAGCCCCCCAGGGATTCAGGGTCTTGTGGAAAGGGGGCAAGATGGAGAAGGAAAGCTGGACCAGTGATCAGGGCTCTAATGGAAGGATGGACAGAACTGTAGAGTTGGGGCCAGCTTCACCGGAAGGGACTCTGGACAAGATACTTGAAGAATGTGGAGGCACTTGCTAGATGGTGCGGAGCAGGGAGGGTGTGGGGACTGCCAGGGGTAACAGTGTGAGCAAAGGCTCTGAGGGGTGTCTGGGACCTGGCAGCCTGGTATCTTCTCTCCCCTTGCATCTATCCTGCAGTAACCAGGCAGAACTGTGTCCTCCAGTGAGCAGATCGTTGGACCTCATCCTCACGGCCATCTCTTCTGTGGGTGGGGGGTTGTGAGGGTCTGAAATAGGTGGTACGCTGTTTGCATTGGCGCCACCGCCTGCCTCTCCAGGCCTGTGGGCCCTGGGGACCCTGCTCTCCAGGCTGAGGTTGGCAGGAAACATAAAACTTTAAGACCTGATGTCATCTCTGAAAAATGCTCCCCCTTCTCTGAGAGCCAGGGGCCTCGTGTTTGTGTTGGGGGAGGAGCTGGTCATCCTGGCATGGCCCAGGCTGCTTGGGGGTCTGTCTGCAGACCCAGTCTCCACTGTCTGATCCCCGTTCTCCCCACAGGCTCCAAGCTGGAAGGACCTGGGCCTCAGGGCTGGGTGACCACCACCCCCCTTTCTGCCCCTAACCCCATACCATCCAGGGCTGCTCAGGCCCTTCCAGAGGCTTGAAGCAACCATGATAGAACCCTTTCCTCAGGTGTGTGTGGGGGGTAGAGGTGGGGTGGGGAGTATTCTGAAGGCCTTGGAGGCCAGGCCTGGCTGAAGATGAGGTGTGTTGGGAATGGGTCGGCCTCTAGCTTCCCCCTCTTTCCTCCCTGCAAGGGCTTGCAGAGGTGGGGTGCTCTCTGCTAACAGCCTCCATAGGGCCCAGGCTAGAATCTAAGCACCATGTCTTTCAGGAAGGGACGTGGTAAAAAGAAAATGTCTGGTCTTCCATCCTGGGGAGCACGGATGGATCCCAGGCACTGGGTCAAAGTGGGTGTGAGGATGGGAGAGGCTCAGCTCAGCCCGCTCTATACCTCAGGATCCTTCAGAGGGAATCAAAGGGCAGGTGTGGGAAGGACACTGGGGATTCAGGAAAACAGATTCCTGCCTCCATGCCACCCGGAAGGGGCTGTGGGATCTGGTAACAGTAACAAGAGCTATTATTTAAGGGTGCACCCTGACGACAGCCAGGGCCCAGTCATTCTCTTTCCTGCCCCTAGGAGTCAATCCTTCTCTCTCTGGGGAGGAAAGGGGTCTCTAGGTCCCATCCAGCCTCTATCTGGAGGCTGGCTACCAGCTGTCTAGAGTCTTCTTCAGCTCTGGAGTTCATTACAGGGGTGACAGGCTGTTTTCAGGCTGTCTTGTCTCTGCAGGAACTGGGCTGAAATGGAGCGGGCAATTTGCAGGGATGAGAATGGGCTTGGTTGAACCCATCAGAGGATTGGCTGGTGTGTGTCTGTCTATGTGTACATGTATGTACCTGTCTGCAGGGAGTGTGGGGAAGGAAGTCCGTCGTGGGTGCAGAGCACCCCACGTCGTGGGGAAGTGCAGGGACAGGAGAGAGGACAGGAGGGACACTCTGCGCCCAAGTCAGACCTTCTCCTGAGCTTTCTTCTGAGGATGGAGCAGATAAGTCCTCTGGGACAAACCCCTGGAGGAAGAGTGGCCTGTGGAGCAGAAGAGGGTATTAGTTAGCATCAGAGACACGACAGTCAAATATATCTTTGAATCCCAGCTCAGCATCTGCCAGCTGAGTGTTTCATACAGGTTACTGAATTTCTCAGAGCCATTTTTCATATACAAATGAGGATGACAATAGTACTTGCTTTATAGGGTCTTTAAGCATTAAATGAAATGATAGGTGTAAATGCTTTGTGCAGTGCCTAGCAGAGAGAAAAGCCTCAAAAAACCATCTTCATGGGAGTTCCCTGCTGGCTCAGATGTAAAGAATCTGCCTGCAATGCAAGAGACCTGGGTTCGATCCCTGGGTTGGGAAGATTCCCCTGGAGAAGCGAATGGCAACCCACCCCAGTATTCTTGTCTGGAGAATCCCATGGACAGAGGGGCCTGGCGGGCTGCAGTCCATGCACCACGAAGAGTCCGACACGACTGAGCAACTAACACACACTAGTGTTCAGGATTCGGCTCTTTCACTGCCATGGCCCAGGTTCAATCCCCTGTCCTGGAACTGAGATCATGCAAACCTCCTGCCATGGTACAAAATGAAACAAAAACAAAATCACCAAACCACATCTGTCATCGATGCCATCATATCATGAAGGCTGAAGTCCACCTTGACCACTCAGAAGGGCCCTCTCGGCGAGGCACAGAGCCTCAGAGGAGAGAGGCTCCCTGATGGTCTGACAAGGGCTTTCCATGATCTGAGAGCTTTGTCTGGAAGATGCCAACATCCCTCCGTGCTGTGGGCTCTGCAGGAATCAGGCCTCTCTGTCCGTTAAGGCCAAAACTCTGCACCCCACAACCCCAATCACCACCTGAGGGTAAGCTGCCTAAGGGGTCAGGGGATTCTGAGGCTGCTGCTAACTCTGGCTAACAAAACCCAGGGTCTTTTATATTCTGAGTGTTGATGGTCACTTCTAAGGCCCACTTCATTTCTCTGAGCCCCTACCTATCTTTTATTAATAAAAATGTGCAAACACACAGAAAAGTGGAAAGAATTATATTGCCCAGACCCTGTGCCCACCGCTGAGATTATCCTTGCTTTATCACATGTCCATCTCTCTTTTCCTCTCTCCACCCAGCAATTCAACTTACCTTTTGGGTGCATTTCAAAAGTAAGCTGAGAGCATCAGGTCACTTCATCCTTAAACCCTTCAGTAGGCATATCATTAACCATGTTATGGTTCTTTTCTTTTTGAGGTAAAATTTGCTTGCAGTGAAATGCACAAATCTTAAATGCACTATTCTGTGAGTTTTGACAAATGCAGTCACGTGTAACCAAACCACTGTTAAGATAAGGAACGTGAGTTTGTTTCTTTCTAACTCTGAGTCACGCTGCATCTTTCTGAGGACTTTGGGGGAAATTCCCATGGGTCTCAGAAGCAGGAATCCATGTCATCTTCTTTCCCTCTTACTTCTGGCTGCTTGGAAATTCTGAGATTACGTTTGTGGCCTGCCTCCAGCATGTACACAGGACATGAACTATGCATTTCTGTGTCATCTTGCTCTCCCTTCTTCCCAATTTCCTTGTCTGTTATTTTTAAATCCTGCTGAGGTATATACAACTCTACAAGCTGGTTCTTAAATCCTTTTTTGGAACGAGACTGAAGGATTTCTGCATAAATAATCATAGTGGAATTTTCAAGATATTTCAACGGTCTGTGGTGGCCAAATATGTGAAATTGAGGCTGTTCCAGTAAATCTGGAATGAATTGACACTCTATCCACAGAATATGAAACTGTGTGTAGAGTATGCATGTGTACACACACACACACACACACACACACACACACACGAAGAATCCTTTTCTTGTCCAGACACTGGCATTGGCAATGAAACCATCCAAACCAAAGGAGCCCCCTCACCAATGGCTTTGCCGCCCAGGAACCCTGCAGGGCAGAAGTTGGGAAGGGAATGGCAGTCTGAATAGCGGTCTTGGATGGCTGGAAGCTGGCACCTGTGAACAAGCAACAGTGATGGTGATGCATCCGGAACCAGGCTGCCCAGCCAACCAGCGCTTTCCCACCGGAGCTCTTTGCTCTGGGCTCCTCTGCCGGTGATTTCCCGGGTCCCGCCTTGCATTTTCTCCCTCATCTTCACATGTTGGGAGCCCCTGGCCAGCTACTGAAGACCCCCAGACAAGCCTTCAGCTTCCAGATCATGGAGGGCAGCATGGGTGAGAATATGGAATGGGGAGAGGGAGGGGAAGTCTCAGTGAAAGTGTGGGAGAAACCTCTTCAGTTTATCTTTTCTCAGAACATTCTTTGGGTCTGTCTTCCAGACCATGCAAGACAGGGCCTTCCCAGTGGTCCAGTGGTTAAGACTCTGTGCTTCCGATGCAGGGGGCACAGTTCTATCCCTGGTGGGGGAAACTAGCATGCCGCCGCGGTGTGGCCAAAAAAGGAAATAAAAAAAAATCCCTCCCCCCCACACAAACCAAAACAGGCAGACCTCATTTCATTTCTATTTAGGAGACTGATTAGAGTCTGCCTCTTTACTAGCCTCTAATCTTGTCTGTTTTTATCTAGCATTGACTACTATTTAAGGAATGAAAGTTTTCTTGGCTGTGTTTTGTTTTCCCTCCTCCTTGCACAGAAGGTGTGAGAATAAGCTCAAGGGTTTGTCCAAGAGCAGGGAGCAGACCTGAGGCGGGGGCTGGGGTCCTGGGGTCCTGGTCTGACAGGCACTAGAAAGAAAGTGGAAGAAAGTGAAGTCGCTCAGTTGTGTCCGACTCTTTGCAACCCCATGGACTGTAGCCCACCAGGATCCTCAGTCCATGGAATTTTCCAGGCAAGAATACTGGAGTGGGTTGCCATTTCCTTCTCCAGGGGATCTTCCCGACCCAGGGATCGAACCCGGGTCTCCCTCATTGTAGGCAGACGCTTTACCGTCTGAGCCACCAGGAAGTCCCAACACAGAGCACGTCTCCTGGGATGAGGCACCATCTTGGAAGAGGGGAGCCTGGGTCCTTCTACACAGGTGGTCTCACTGAACCATGCTGGCGACTCCCTCCTAAGGAGGAAGTACCCACGAGTACCAGGGATGGGAGCAGAAGCTTTCTGAAACAACCAGGGATCCAAAATGTCAAAGATAGTGAAAGATTCAAAGGCTTATATAAAAATATATCCGTGCATGCTAAGTCACTTCAGTCATGTCCAACTCTTCAATCCCACGGACTGTAGCCCACCAGGCTCCTCTGTTTGTGGGATTCTGGGGGCAAGAATATTGGAGTGGGTTGCCACGCCTCCTCCAGAAGATCTTCCAGACCCAGGGATCCAAGCCCTGTCTCTTGTCTCCTCCATTGACAGGCAGATTCTTTACCACTAGCCACCTGGGGAGCCTATGTAAACACATATGTGTGTTAGTAGCTGAGTTGTGTCTGACTTTTTGTGATCCCAGGGACTGTAGCCCACCAGGCTCATAGGTTCACAGAATTCTTCAGGCAAGAATACTGGAGTGAGTTGCCATTCCCTTCTCCAGAGGATCTTCCCAACCCTTAGATCGAACCTGGGTCTCCTGCTTTGCAGGCAGATTCTTTACTATCTGAGCCACGAGGGAAGTGCTATAAGCATATATATAAACATATATAATCTATATAATACATAAATATATATTTATTTAAATATATATGTGTTTTTTAAGTTTGCAAAATCATACAGAAAATACATGAATATATTCACATTTCAAAGAAATGGCAACCATCTCTGAAGTATGTGGAGTAAAAAAG